GTGCATCGATACATGTACACTAGTTCTTGCCATTTTTACGATATACGGCCAAAATAATAGAAGATGTAACGCATAGGGATCATAAAAAGAAAAAATAAATAAATAAATAAATAAAACAAACCCGAACAAATGAAATTCATTGGTCGTTTGGAAGCAACGGAAATTAATTTGTAAATCGTGTGGCGACGAAGAGAAGGGCGTTTGGATGGTGAGTGTAACTGTCTTGGTGTGCATGTGTATGTACACTACTACTACTCCGGAAACAGCTCTTCAAAAGGCTAAACATCAATAAAGCGCATTAGGTGACGACGACGGGTATACACGGGGTTTATCCGGGAAAAGTCATCAGGGGGTGGTAAAGGGGTTTCTGGGCGGATGAGAAGCCCACTCTATTGGATCAAATGTCGTAACATTACGTAACCCAAAGAAAACCAGAGCCACCGGGTGTGGGGACGACGGTCGCGCACTGTATATGTGTGTTCTTCCAAGGGGGTAAATCAATAAGACGGACCCGGAGGCGGCGATCACACCGGGCGGAACCACCGGTCGCCTGTTGTTAAGGGTATAAGTGAAGTTTACGGACGATAAATCCCTGCGCGCTACCACCAAATCGCATATCAAAGTACATCTAAATAACACTAGTGACTCCATAGCAGACAAAGAAGCGATTAAATCGAAACAAAAAAAATAATCAAAACATACACACAACATCTAAAATACCCTTATAGATTTAAGTTTAATTATCATTAGAATCAGATATTTTAATAATAGTACGTTATAATAAAATATATAAATTAATTGTCAATAACAATTATGTACATGAGCATGTAAAATTGTAAAAATTATTCCTTATATTTAATTTATTAAGTTACTTCAATAATTTATTTAACAATAAGTATGTATAACATATACATTTGTTTTAATGTATTCTGAATCATTTCAATAAAATCGTCAGTTAAATGCTTTAATATTACCATTAAAGTAAGTAAAGTAAGATTAAATATTTATGCCTCAAAGTTAGTGGGGTCTAATTTTGTAAACGGTCGATTAACCGTATCACGACCAAATTAAACCGACACACAATCTACGCACTACTAAATCTGAAATTAACGCAGTTTAAGAAATAAGTCTGCAAAAACCCATCCATCAAATTTCACCCTTATGTCTTTTCCTTCTGTTTTTACGCCAAGAATCCCATATTTTATGTACAGGGATTTATGGGTATACATCGTCTCACTCGACTTACGTTCCAATAAATCACAAACACTAAAATATACTGATATACAAACATGAATTTTTTACTCTAAAAGAGGTAAAAATAATTTGTTTAGAATAACTTGAAAAAAAATGTATGTAAATGAAACTTAAAAAGCAAACTTACAATATTACTTTTGTATTTTATTAAAATAATAAAACGCCAGAAAATATTCTCGGTGTTTATGATAATAGCTATTGGCCAAGAAAAGATTTTTATAAATGTTCTTGAAATAAGTTATTTATTAGACTACTGTACATACAATTTAAAACAGTTTTGGGAAACCCTGAAGTGGTAGTAAATCGTTTAAAAGCTGCCAAAGCGTCCCTAGGGTGGGTGGAATGCGTTTAATATAATGTGACGTCACTCATGGACGCTTTCCGCACAGCCGACAGTTAATTGACTCGGTTAGCCGGTAATCAATACAGTCCTGAAGGAGCTACCTGGCGGTAGCAGCCCTTAACTCGATAAAGAGAACGACAAATTGTGAGAATAGTTATTTTTGTTGCAAAAACAAACACCAGCTAAAGTGGTAAACGCGTTGAGATTTAATTAGCCACTTAAAATGAATTAGCTTTTATTACTAATGTTTTTTTTTTTTTTTTGTATTATTTCTTTAATTTTAATTAATTATGTAACAAACTATTATAGAAATTAAAGAAAAAAAATATGTCCAGTTTTAAGGTATTATTCATAAGCAATTTATTTTATTTATAGACAAATTTAACCAAAACCAACGGTTTAATAAATAATGAATATTTTTGGGATTAACTATTATACTAATTACTAATTGCAAGATAAAAATAGAAAATACCTTTAATTAATATACTTTACAATAAAATTAAAATATATTTATCACATATGTTTTACAATAAACATAACTCAAAATATTATTGAATTAAATATTTTAATGAATTAATGATACTTGATATTTTAAGTAAATAATTTTTATGACTGAATTTCTAATAGGTGTACAAACCTCGACAAAACACCACCATACATACAAAAAATTAACAAGACAAAATATCAATAAACCAAGGTAAAATACTAGGTAACCAAAACATATTTGAAGTTAACCATAAACAATATTCTAACTACTATGAATGATAATATATTTGCGCTTAGACAGAAAATTATAACTGAAAATTTCCTTAATTATTATAAATAATTTTTTTCAAACTTCGCAGTTTAAAGGTACTCAATAAAGTATTCAATAACCAATTACCATATTTTAAAAATGTTATGATACACTCGTTTGTTGCATACAAAATGTATTAATTTTTCATTCTCTTCCGTCAAATCGTTTTTAGTTTTACTTTCATATTTCACATGCTCATCATAATCTCATGATCCCAAGTGATATAATTTGATGAACGAAAGACACAGATAGGGGGATTATTGTTTAAGTAACAAAATTAGCACGAGAAATAATTTATGGCAGAAAGGGACGACACGCGAAACAGCACTTAAAGTATAATCTACATCATATGAAGTACAATAATAGAAAACAATTAACATAATTAAGTATTCATTATTACGTTTTGAATTTTAAGCCGCGTAAATTATAAGTAATTAATATAAATTTATATGATTAAAAATACAAAATATACAATAATAACAATTTAAATAATAATTATATGACTTGTTTTTATGTAATAATAAACCATTGATCTATTACATGATCTATGAATCCATGTAATCCTCAATGGTATTTCCTTGGATATTTCAAACATAACAAATTCTTTTAATACGATTAAATCAGATTTGAATAGACACCTAAGAAGCACGTTTATCCTTTCAGTGGCCAACTAAACTGGTTTATTACAACAAGGTTAATCACTTTAAATACACGTAAAGTTAGAGAATCACTAAAAAAATAAACCAGTCGTAAACGATTACACTCAATTTAATATTTTTTTTTCTTAAATAACTCTTAGACACATCTTTTCGTTCAACCGGTGAACGTTTAGGTGTACAATGTACCAGACTTCCTTTATTGCTAGTGACCATGAACATTAATTTTAAACTTCCTTTTTTAGTAGTCTAATGATATTTGAAATATAATCAAATGTTAGTAATTATATAAAATACATATAGAGGTAGAAATCGTGTGTTAATGAAGGTTAGATCAAAAGTTTTTTTAGTAATCGTACATAAACGTGCATTAAACTGTCATAAAATATTATTTACAATAAATTTGTTAAGAAAGTTAACAAGAAGTTTGTTAAGGAAGAATAATTTTAGGAATTAAAATGAACTAATTAATAAACATTTCAGATGAATACTTTATTTCGTGAGATAAAAAACCTATAGGCTATGAATAATTTCAACGAAACTAATTTAATACAATTTTAATTTTCACAATTAATATTTATTTATATTATACAATATAAAAATCAAAATTTCTTAAGAAGAATATTTTACAAATTAACAAAACTATTATACCATTAATAACTTGAAATGCAAACAAAATGATTTAATAGACGTCATGTAAAAAGAAATTTATATGTACATTATTTGTTATTCCAATTTAAATCAGCCTTAACTCTTAACCATTAACTACCAGAATTCCAAGAAAAAATATGTGACGTTCCTACAAAATACACATATTATCATCTGTTCTCTAACTCTCAGTATTCATACAATTTTAACAACGGAGTTGTAAAATGGGTAGCCGATTGCGGTCATACTGTATTATACGATTCTATACAAGTCAAAGACATGTTTTTTTATACAAGGAATGTCCGGTGTAATTTACAATATTAGGGTGTAATTTTAAGCAAAAAAGGTCTTTTAAGCCTGGAAGCCAGGTGATTCATATTGAAACCTCATGTTTTCAGGAGAAAGAACGCATCCCTTAGAGTTGTAAATCAAAGACACCCCGTGGTGCAAAATAGTATTATAGGTCAGATTTTTGCCGACACAGAAGCAAATATTTTCAATAGTCCGCTAAGAGGACAACAGGGGTTAAAAGGGGACTAAATATTACGCAATCTCGTAGCTAAATCTATTAATATTTTAAGTATTGTTTTCAACAATTGAAAATTAAATTAAAACATAATACCTTTTTAAACAGTACAAAATCATCGAAAATGTTATATAAATAGTATTAGTTAAATTAATAAATTTAAGTAGCCCGAAAATACCAATTGTTTATATCTTATTAAATATTTATATAAATAATAAAAAAAAATTATATCAAATACCTACACGGCATGACTTAAACATTGAAACACAAAAACAGAACATTTGGCACATTTCACAATAAATAAATATACTAAACAGCTCGATAAAAACACAATTAACTTTTTTAAATTTAATTTTAATTTTAACATAACAATGATTTAAAATTAAATTAATTTTACTAGGTATATAGTTTTTAAAAACATTAAATAATTTATTAGTATATTACCATAAACTCATAATAAGTATACCCAATTATAAAAAAAAAAATCAAATTAATTATTTTATTTATTTTTATTTATAAAAATTAAAAATTAATTATTATTACTTATCCATTAACACAAATTGTTTTGAAACTGTATCCTAAAGAATATACATTAAATATATATTATGTATAATATACATTTGAATAATTATTAAATTAAATCATTAAAATACTATCCTCTGAATATTTTGATAATATTCTAAGAAATTAACCTTAGTACCTACTACTAACTAATGAAGTTGATTTATACAACTATTTAGAGTGATTTCTCAAATTTATAAATTAAATTAAATTTACCTTATATAAATTATGACTCCGTTATTATGAATTCGTCTCCAACCAGCTGGTACAGTAATAGATGATACAAAAGCTGCAGGAGTTGAAACAATGTTATTTGTTAAAGTAACAATTGCTGTTGAGTTAGGACAGTGATAAGTCTTATCGCACTCACTGGTAACGATTTGATTATTATCGGTCGAGTAACAGTAACCGTTCGGCACTTGGTTCATATTAGCGACAGTCGCCGGTTGAGCGACGACGCCATGTCTATAAGACGGATCATTAGACGCACTCCGATATCGGGCGTTTGGGTCTGTGAATAAGGGACCAGCAGATTGCAGAGGCTGGTCGTTTGACTCGGTCTTCATGCCGTATCAGATGACCGACGTAAAGAACGTAAAGGCAGAGCGAGGCATTTTGCAAATTACTCATGGAGGCTTTTCCTTGTCCGAATATGCTACCGCAGCTATCATTACTGCATAGTTGATACGGAAGAATGTGACCGACACATGACGGACATTCGAAACATACACCTTTGATTTTCTGTAACATAAAATATCATTAAAACTTAAATAACATATTATCATGTGAATAGTTATCAAAATAGATAAATAGTAGTTTTTTAAATATGCTGGCACATTTATTTAAAAATCAATCTAATAAGTTTATAATAACCATCTAATAGATTATATCATACAAGGAATTTAAATAATTTACATTTTTAAAAAATAATGTTATTGAAATTTTATTTATAACCTTTGCCTACTTAATATAATGTAAATGATGATATAATTTAAAATTTAAGTTGAAAAATAAACATAAATACATACAAAAATATTAAATTTAATAATTTATTTACTGTAATTACTTAATAATGTCAAGTAATTTAAATAATTAGAAACAAACAAAATATTGTACAGTAAAAAGTGTTTGAAAATTATTTAAAAATCTTTAATTGTTTAATAAAAGTGATAGTAAACTTTAAGTTAACTTAAATTTAACTCAATAGATAAAATATAATTTTACATAGTAAAAATTAAATAATTATTTAAATAAGACTTAAAAATAAATTAAAAGAACCAATTTTGGATGAATTAGGAATGAAGCATGAGATAACAATAACATTATTTAGTTGGAATTAAAACTAATAAGTAGAAGATAAATAACAACATTTTCTTGTTTAAAAACTACAAAAAATTAAATCGTAACTTAAAATGTTGACTAAAAACTTTTTTCCCTCGCAATCTTGTATTTGCTTACCTGCATGACTTATGACACTCATCAAAATTTTTGAATGATTTTCATGTAATTTGTTGAAATAACATACATACAGGTACCCGATATTATTTATGATCGGACACTACCACAAAAAATATAAAATAAAATTATCGAAACAACTTCACGAGTAATAAGTCCACATCTTTACACGGCGGTTTAAATCAAAGCATTAACCCGATTAAATAATGATTTATTATCATTAAAGCAAAATAAGCGATTAACAACAACAACAAACGCGCACCGTAAACTCCCGAAACAAACGCACTTTATCGCGACGGAAAATTGCGAAAAAGTTATAACGTATGAACTGCTGATAAAAAAAATAAAAATAAAAAAATTATATTTTAAAGAGAAAACAACTGAAAACCAAAATCGTATTACAGTGACGCCAGAAAAACGTACGTACGACGGGGGGGTAAGACTGGCGCTGATGTTGTGTATACGTACGCCACCGTACGGATATACGCACAGGCGACCTTCGATGTATCACGACCAGTGATGCCCCCTGCGGCAATTCTACGTACTACAATCTAAGGGCGCGTTTTCACCGAGACGCCACGGCGCGCTGCCAGTTGCCGGTAGTTATTGCATGGCTAATGTCAATATAATAATATAATGTACTATGATTTATGTAGGTACGTGAAGGTAATACAATTAACAACGGCATTTAACCACCGAATTCCGTATGAAATCGATTTGATTTTTGGATTTTCTTAACCAAAAAAATCTAATTTCTCTCTAAATAATTTGGACAGAAACCCAATTTCAATCCACTATTAATTTCAAAAGTATATAATTATGTGATGACAGATTCCGTGAACCTTCGTTAATGACCTAGAACAGACACAAAAATAAAAAAGTCAGTAGCCTATATTACTAGGTAGTTGGTAAAAACAAAACGAATGACCAACGTCGCGTTTCAATGTTGTGAAATGTTTTAAAATGTTACAAAATGTTTCTACGAAATTTGAATACTTTCTTAAAGTGGTTTATACTTAAAACTACATTCTCTATTATATATTACTAACTTTTAACCATACTTGAATAAATTTTTAAACCATAATAATAATAACAATAATAATAATAGATCTACGTAATTATATAGTTCTTATTAGCTATTAAGAACATATATAAATAAATATAATGAAATTATAAAAAAACTGAAAATAACTGTAAAGAACCTTTTCGATAAAGTATCGGTTCCTGTTTTTCAATCAATTATAATAAGGGTTCTAGCAAGGTTCCGGTTTTAAAAAATAATTTAAATAATGGTTTTGTTGAGGTTCTAGTTCCCAATATTCAAAGGGTTCCTGTTTCAAAACCGGTTCTTTTCAGTACGGCTCCAGTCCCTAATTTAAATAGGTGCCTACTTTTAAAAATCTAATATTGAGATACTGTGTAGTTAAAAAAGTTGAAAGTAGGCCATTTTAAATGAATTAAGTATAGACAATATCTACATTCACGTTGGTATGCTGTTGCGTTTAAAAGACTATAAGTTTAAATATTTTAAAGAATTTTCATAAATATAAACGTCTATATTGACAAATAAAAAAGTTGGTATTACTAAAAATTCTATTTCCATACAATTCATTTTCTTACCTACCCAATAAATAAAAAATAGTTTAATTTAAATTGAATTAGCACAAACTAACCTATTATTATTATTTGATTTTTTTAACTTTCAATTAGAATGTCACGTTGAACAAATAATCAAGGTTACCTAATTAAAAACATATAGGTTTTGCTAATTTTGACCTTGGAAAATTTTTTTTATCAAACATCCATCATTCATGGTTATTGGTAAACAGTGGCGTAGTGAAGGTTTATGATTTATGAACTATGATACACAATATATATTTTAGTATCTACTCAATCTCTTACATATCTCAATTTGAAATGTTTTAAGGTCAACACACTATAATATGGAACTTATAAACGCAAGTATATTTTGGGATTTAGAAAATTTAAATGCATATTTCATTAGTTAAATTTTAAAACAATTAATATTAACAAAATGTTTTAAAGACCTGTAAAATATATGGTACCGAATTTCAACCATAATCCCTATCAGTGGCGTATACAGAAAATATTTTCGGGAGAGACTACTATGGACAGAGTTAAATTATCACTGCTATCTAAGAATTACTAACTAGATACAGTAGGTACTTATCTAAATTTCATTTACAGCATCTCCCAAAACAATTTGACGTTGGACGTAAATTCTAAATAAGCATAAAGCACCATTAAAATATAACAAACGTTTAAAATAATTTTTAAGTTTTTAAAACATTTCGTAGGAGGGGGGGGGTTTAGCCCACTAGGCACCCCCCCTATATACGCCACTGATCCTTAGGTGTACCTACTAAAATACCTTCGCCATGCCCAGTGCCGGATTACCCATTAGGCAAATAAGGCGCCCGCTTTTGGGCCTCGCTCATTTAAGGGCCCTGTGAAAACGGAAAACTATATTTTTTTTAAATTTAATAATATCTGTATTTTATATACAAATTTACGGAACAAAAGTCGTTATGAAATATATATTAAGTTGTAGGTGTTGTATGCAGTAATAATAATAAAATTATTTTGAAAAAATAGAAATTAATATAATAATTTATTAATAATAGTTGGTTATTATTAAAGCTGTTTATTTCAATTATTGGATAGTAATGTCAAAGATTAAAAATAATTTTGTGGGACCCGAAATAGTAATTACCTAAGGGCTCACAAATGTTTAATCCGGCACTGGCAATACCTCTGTTACTAAATATAGTCTACATATTGAAATATAACTAAGTACTTATGTCAGTATTTATATTTAATTATCATAGTGCAGTGGTGCCCAACCCACGGCCCGCGGGTCATATGTGGCCCGCAAAGGTATTTATTGTGGCCCGTTACAATTTTCTTAAAATGAAACAAAATATTTAAAAAAAAATAATAAAATTATAAAATATGATTTTTTTTTTAAAATTTATCAATTTTATTTTCGAGCATTTTCAAATAGAAATTTCACGATATAACCCGTGCACATAAAAGAGGGTACTGATCAAATTAATGTGTACCTATAGCGTGTACCTCAATCTATGATATAGTGTATCTGCGGGTCGTGTTTCTCATGCACAGAAACGACCAGCAAAATTTGACTTTAATTGTATTATCAATTTATGATTCAAGTAAAATGACTTTTAGAATTATAATAGGAATTAAGAAAAATTTGTAGTTATATTCGCAAATGTATCGTAAGGTAATAGTGATTGTTCTATAATTTTACACCTGAATCAATGCAATAAGTACCTAATACCTACATTTATGTTAACTACGCTAATATGGATATGGATGCTAATACATTATATTTAAACATTCAATAACTTAGCTGCAGTTCAATAATAGATAAGCATATACGAGTGCCTACAGAGATGGTTTTAACTTTTAACGACTATAGGCACTAACCTACCTTAAGACATCCTCGACCTTTTTTTGTGTTTTTATTATAGTGTGGTAAATCAACTTTCAGTTTAGAATAATCAATAAACATTAAACGGTTAGGTTAAATAAAAAATTGTGTTTTTTTAGTGTATTCGAATACACGAATCATATTCTAACTGCAATCAAAATTTTTTTCCAAATATTTAATTTTTATTAAAATTTCTAGCAACTTTACCAGTAACTACTGCAATAACGGAAAAACATTTTTTGATACTGAAAAGAATAAAAAATTATCTAAGAAATGCAAAGGGACTGAGAATATAATAAATACATTTTTTGATCAACATAATAAAATTAAATATTGATGAACGCTAAAGCGTTATGAAATAATTTGGGAGTATAGCACGGGCCAGATAAAAAAGTATGCGAACTAGATTTGGCCGATCAGTTGCCCATCTCTAATCTAAATCATTATTTTTGTTTATCAAAATGTATACGGTCTTGGCAATTCACCAATCTGTAGTTACAGCTCTGAACAGACCCAAAATAATTAAAAACAAAAAGAAATAATAATATTAAAAAATATTTAGATATGTTTTAACAATTCTTCAGTTACTTATATGGATAAAAATATAATTTTGAGCATTGAATTATAACTTAATTGAAATTATTCATTAATCTAAACATATTGATAGGTACACCAGTACACAGTTAAAATGCCAATAAATATGTCTTAATTATGTTAACTGTTGTTGCTAATCATTTAGTTTTTTATATTCTCAATGCATCACTTTATGACAATGTTTTACTTACATGAAAATAAAATTATCTTGATTTGTAATTAAAAAATTTTATATAATATCCTGTTGTGCTTATTACACACAGTTTAAAATCAAATTTTTATTTCTTTTTTTTTTTTTTAATATTAATGTATGTTAATTATATGATTAAAACTGTGATAATAAAACTTAAAATATGCACATATTGAGAAATTCAAATGATACATAAATCAAATATCGTTGTTTATAAGTAAAGCAAAATACAACATAACAAGTTAACCTACACAGTCTACTTGGTTCAATACTATAACTCAGAACTTAATTATAACGATTAAATCCTATTTTTTTTTAACCGAGTTACACTTAATATAATTTTAATTTTAATGCATCATAATACCAATCCAATAACATTATCATTTAATAAAAAATAAAGTTTACTAAAATGTATTATAAAATTAAAAATAAATTATATTTTAAATACATGTATACATGAAACAATAAACAAATAATTAATAAATTATATTAAAGCTTTATTTTATAATTATGAGTAGTACACTCACTTTTCACCTTATGTAATTTATAAATGCAACATTATATACATTTATAAATTATAAATATTAATATTTTTGTAATTAATAATTATGTTATACCACATTATCACACTACACTAGTTATTATAATACGGTTAGTAGTAGTATACCATTAATTCAAAATTATTTAAAAAATTTAAAATGTATTTATTTACTTTTATCAAAGAAAATTTGAGTAGAATATATATTTTATTTAAACAATTACGAAAAACACAACAATTAACATACTTATATACTTGGATTATATTTATTATAATTATTGAGTAAAGAATACTTTTTACGTTTTTAGGAATTATTTTACTAAAATATAAAAAATTTATGATGAGAATTTAAAAATTTAAATTTTATTTTTAAAATTTAAATTGTCAAAAAATAATAATGTATGATGTAAGTATTTATCAATCTAGAAATGCAAATACATATAGTTAATTGAAATAAACCATATTAACTTGTAAATAGTAAATAATTAAATGAGTATTTCTTATAAAATAAGTGATTTAAATAACTAAACAAATTTGAAATTAATAATTATAATGTGCACAAAATGTAAGATAATTAAAAATTATAAATAACAAAAAATAAACACATATTTTGTACAATATTAATGTTTCATTAATTCATAATTAAAATTACTAATTACATGGTATTTAAACATATTTTTGCTATTAATAATATATATTTAACAGCTAGTGATGCTAATGTATTAGTAAATAAAAATATTATAACTATAAGTTTTTAATTATTTGTTAAGTGTAGTAGATATTTGGCAATAGCAAAATAATTAAATATTAATTTTTAGAATGTAGGTTACACTTAATAAAATGCAAGGTTTATCTTATTGATTTTGAAAAAACTTAATTTAAATAAATATTATGAATTAGGTAAATTTAACACAATCTTGATAGGTACCAATACACTTTGGGGTTGTTTTTGATTCATGACATGTGACATTGTATCCAAATACATAAAATTCATAATAAATCCTACTTGAACATTTTCATTTTTTGCAATATTTTCATAAGGCTTCACTTCAAATTTTAATGCAACTTTGTTTCCTTTTCTCCAATAGACATATTTTGGATCATCATAATCAGTATTTACTTCATTTGTATCATCATACTCAGCAGTATCATCTCTAGCAGCAATTTTAATCTCGCCTTCTGGAACAACAATATCACCTTGTAGTTTTAGAACAATAGGAATAGGTTCAGGTAATTGCTTAGGAATAGCTATAAGATCTTCTCCTTCTAATTGTCTTGGTTCTCTTACTATATTGATAGCTTTTAAATTTAATTTTTCAAAACGAACAGCTGTGGGTGTTTGTGCAGGATTACACAATTTCAGAACCAGTGAACTAGATTTACCAGCAAGTAATGGTTCACATTTAATTATTTTTATTTCTGGAACATGATAATATGCTAAATGTTTAATTTTAAATTTTACAGCATTATATTCTGGTTTAACAACATTATGTTCACATACACGGCAACGTAATGAATGCTTTACACGAAGATGTTTACGTATTGGAAACAAATCATCTACATTTTCACTTTGAAGTTCAGGAGTAGCAAATCGTTGTTCTAAAGTTGATATTTGTTTTATATCTACTACTTTTTCAAATATATCTTCAGGGAGTTCTAGAACATTTTCAACAGCTTCAGATGAACTAATTTGAGGTGTACAGTAACCAGTACCATCCATAGGAAAGTTAGGAAGACCAGCACGTTTCCGTGCCATCATTGCATTTAAACCAAATTTTTCTAAAAAATGCATATAATTACGACCATAATTTTTAGTACTTCGTTTTTGTTTGTCAAATACTTCTTTCAAAGAAATAGATTTATAATAATTGATAAGATCAACAATTCGTGCCTCATTTGGATTTTTATAAACTGGCCAGTTTCCCGATGATGTAGGTTGATCAGGTACATTAGGTTCATGAGATCGCCAGTTACAAAATAAACAAAGTAAATAGTACATTTTCTGAGGGGTTTTTTTGGAATCAGATGTTCGAGAGTATGAACGTATTGAAAGAGTATTAAAACATCGTGGACACTCTAGACATGAAGCACATCGATTTTTCTTATGTTTTGCTTCAGTCGAAGAAAGATTTTCAAAACAATGTGGACAATAAGTTGTATCAATTTCATGACTAACACAAAAGTCACAACGAAGTGTTAAGCAATGACGACAGAAGAACAAGTCAGGTAATAGTTTCTGTAAGCCACATGTACAAATTGATGTAACGGTTTTTTGAAGCATGTAGGAAGCCATCTCAGCAACAATCAAAATTTCTAAAAAAAATAAAATACATTAGTTGTTTGAATAAGATATAAATAAAAAAACAAATAAGACATCAATATCAAACCACTTTTATAGTACATTAAAAACATGAAATTATTGATTATTTATTTAATCCATAAATTTGTTTAAGAGTTCTCCAAATGACTCTAAAATAACTGGATAATTGTTATATATATTCAAATGTAATTAAGTAATTATTTCCAAAAATGTATTTATGAAAAAAAAACCTCTGTAATGAGTATAATAAACAGTATGATTCCTTTTAAAGGTAACACTAAATAATTCTGAGTGGCTGTTAATGTGCTTTGTGGGGAATTTGAAAAATGTCGTGTATTTAACTCCATTTTTAAGTATTGAAGACCTCAAAAATAAAATAAGAAATGTTTATGTAAAATTTTAAAAGGAGCAGAAATTAGCAGCCATTCAAAGAGAAATAATGCGTACAATTCAATTATGTTTGGATAATGAAGGGCTAAATTTTGAACAATTTATTAGATAGTTAATGGAAATTATTTTATCCAAATAAATAATTAAAATTATAAAAATAGTGTAAATATATTTAATTTTTTCTTAGTAAATTAACTAACATTTTATTGAAGTTAATTGATACCTTAAATTAAATGTTAATGATTTAATATGGTCTGCAAACCTATAAATACAAAATTATAAGATAATTCATAAAATTCATGAATGATTGTTGAAAATTTCAATAACTTTAATCGAAACTTTAACTCATTGTCATTCAGTCAAGTTTAATTTTAGAGATATGGTAAAAAAAACCAAATTAATTTTGGTCCATACAAATCTATTGTTGAAAGTAGGTATTGCTATTTAAAAAAATGCATGTTGTATTGCGCATGAGCACAATAAAAGGGTTAAACATTTAAAAATGGTAAAAATGTGTATTTCAATACTCTTTAACTATTTAATAACATCCACTTCAATCCAATGTCACAGTACAGAATTATTTAGTGTTACCTTAAAATAGAATCACACTGTATATAATAAAAAAATATTGTACTAAATACTTACAGTATTGTAACCAAAGCTGATTAATGATGTAATTTTGTAAGATTTATTTTTTATTTTAAAAATAATATTACGAGCATAAGTAAAATTAAAATAACCTATGTATATTGTAAACAACACGTTCTTCTTAAAGTTAATTTAACCAACCGAAAAACAAAAATAAATGTATTTAATTTTCCAAAAGTGTACAAATTATTGTAATGAGTCTAAGGAAATAAGAAGCCCACATCATAAAATTTTAATTGATAAATCTTATTAAATACTGATATCAATATTTTAAGATAATGATTGTATATAATTTTACCACCAGATAGCAGTAGCTTTTTAATTAATGTTTATCAAAACAATTTGAAGCAATATACTTACATAGAAATATAAATATCTTTATATCATTATATATATATGTGCTCTATATGTATACTTATTATATTCTATTTTAATTTATAAAAATATCTACTCGACTCACCAATCATCTTTCATTGCATTTCTTAATTGAACATATTTAATAAATGCACCTAAATGACTAAACTACAGTCGTAATTCAAAATATAAATACATTTTAAGTTTGAATTAAGATATATTTATATATATATTATGATGATGACAGTAAATTTAACGATTGATGACTAAACCAGATCAAACACATTTTTTTTTTTATTTGTGAGATTTATCTTTACATCTTTTAAGAATCTTTAGTCAAATAATAATTGGGTATTATATATCTATTGAATATTTTCCTAACCTAACCTAACCTTTCGTTTACACCTAATTGATTGATTGATTCAGATTTAACATTAAAACCTTATGCAGTGAAGTGAATATATTTATTCAAAAAATAAATAATTGGATTAAATAATATAAAATTTAAAATATATGTGATGGTCAAACAATACCAGTTTAATATTTATAAATGTAATCGAACCTTAAATATGCGTGTGATATCTATTTTACATGAATCTTATTGTCAATCAACAGTCGATCAGTCCTGGCGATTATATTGCCAAAAAAACTATAAAGTTTTAAATTTTATTCCAGAAATACCTCAAACCGATTTCTGGCTATGTATAATAAAATCAATAAATTACAAACATTGCATTAAAATGAATTACAGTTTAAAAAAAAGATCTTTTTGTGATAAAATAGATTCAGTCACACATGTGAAAAATATGTCAAATAAGTTAAATAAAAATATATTGTACATTAAATTGTTATTTCATAAATCAAATTTATATTAAGCCATAGATTTTAGAATAAAGGATATTGATTTGAAATGTTGACAACCAGTGGCGTATATAGGGGGGGTTTTGGGGGTTCAACCCCCCCCCCCGAAATTTATGGTTAGTACGACCCACGTGTGCATTTCTTTAATCTATTGTTAATTAAAACCAAACTGTCTAGTATCGGAAAAAAATGCTCTCTCTTAATTTTTAAGCAAATTATACGCCCAATTCTTACCTACGCTTGCCCGGTATGGGGTAATTGTGCATCCTCGCACATCAAAAAAATGCAAATTGTCCAAAACAAAGTCCTCAGAATAATTGCAAATGTTCCGTGGTTTGTCAGAAATCCAAATCTGCTATTGATACTTTGAATTAACTATTCGTTGATTTTTTTCCAAATATATGGTGCTTAATGTCAATATTAGTAACTTTACCAGTCTCAACAGCGTCATCAGAAAGATCGTTTTCGATATTGAAAAGATTGAAGTCGTGCTTGAGAAATAGTACAAGCGAAAATCGACTAACAGGATTATCTCATGTCAATTCATTGAAGTATTTCAATAAACACTGAAGAAGTGATAAATAATTTTGCTAATCTACCTCGAAAATTAGACTTTGTCCTGTAATTAAATTTATGTATTCTAATTTTCATAGATATTAAAAATAAGTTAATTTATAACCTTCATTTAGTATATATTTTTTCATAAACCCCCCCCCCCCCGAAATTAATTCCTATATACGCCACTGTTGACAACCATCAATATTTATAAAATAATAGATTTAAAATGTCAAGCATAAAACAGTAGTTATAACTTATATATTTAAATTATTATTAAAATAGAGAATTAAATTATATTTTTACCATTCATTGACAATAAATATTTAATAACCATAACTGTTATAATTTACAGACTTACAGTCATAAGGTTACAATAAATTACCGATTTATTTGTAGTTTACGTTGGTAGGTATACAACTTATTATTGCGAGTTATTACTTATTTAAGTATTAGGAAGTCATTCAAACAAGTAATATACGTAATAATGACTTATAAGTTGTATAATATGTATCTATGAGACTGTATGTGTGTAGGTATGTGTTAATGTTAAATTTTCAATTTGATTAATTATATGAAATATTTATTTAATGCATCAATTTTATTTTATCAACCTTAACATGCTCATTATTTCATAGATTATAAATATAACAATGGAACGAGCTGGAAAATAATTACAGATTTTTAAATTTTTTAGCATATAAATGTATACATATTATAGTCATTTTAAACGCATAAACATCCGAACCCTAATAATAACTAATTCATATTTCATTATTAAATTGGGTTCGATTTTGAATTTAATTTACTTCATAACTCATAAACACTTGGATTAATTGATTTACAGTCTATCAAGGGCCTAGATTCTAGGCTGTACTATAAGTACCTATGTTTACACTATAAAGTGTTTTACCCTAAATATAGCCGTCAAATAGAGGGCATAGATCAAATTCTCCCAATATACAATTAAAGAATATATTTCTCTCAATAGATTGAATGGTCACCGTAACTGATTGTATGCTCATAATCAATATTCGTAAACTTTTGTTCCATAAATTATGTCGAAACATGCATAAATGCATTGCTGATGAATTTTTAATAGGTTTTTTGATTAAAAAAAAATGATGATATGAAATTAAAAAAATAAAGAAAAGAACAAAAGGACTGTGGGCAATAAATTGGATATTAAGAATAGATGACGAAGGAATACAGGTTATTGAAAAAATTAGTATAGATTTATAAATGTTTAACCTATTATTAATTTATTATTTAACGTTTAATTCTTATAAATGAAAAAACATAACACAGTATTTTAAACCCGAGCGAATAAATGAATCGCTAACTGCAGAAACGTGTCCATTTTTATCAAATTTGATTTTATTATCATTTTTTGTTAAGTACGCGTAAATACATCGTTTACTGTAGAAAGGAGTCAAATCCGACTATCCAAACGCTAAATATAGCGTTTGGAAATTTCACTATACTGCAGAAAGGGAACATATCATGTTCAGTTTTTCATCATTCCTGAAAAATTAGGAAAAGTGAACTTGTCCCGTTTCTGCAGTAAGTTATTCAAATAAATCACAGCCTAAGCTAATGACCATAAAGTGGTCCAGACCCTGCCCTCCACCCCAGGGGCGTAATTACGGGGGGATATGGGGGGATAGATTCCCCCCATGAGCTGTATTTATATATTGTCTTATACCTACAAATAATTCAAATAAAAACTTATAAATTATTACGAAACTAAAAAAAAAAAAGTTTAGAAGTTGTGTATACTTAAATATTACCCGTATATAAATATTTACCCGTTAACGATAAGCATGATTTCAAAATAAATGGTCTGAATCATTTTAATTCTTATTTATTAATAAACATTGGGTGCCTTGCTACACACTATACCTAATTATGAATAGATTATAGATGGTAAGTTAAGTAATCCAATAATGGGAAAAAACCACCATTCCATAAACATAATATTATAAGAAAAATGTAACTTCAAGATTTACATTTCGTAGAACGAATAATAGCCATAGATAGTAGGTACTAAGAACGCGCGCCGACACAAAGTATCTACATTGATTATTGCGATTACGTATAAACAGTAAACACTACACAGTAGGTAACACACCGTCTGTGCACTTGTGCTTAATAAAATACATTTTCATAATATCTAATGAGAAAAATGTTTTAATTTTTTTTGTAGAAAAGACTTAATGGTCTGGCAATGTTGGCAATTCATAATGATATTACATTTTCAAATGAAGAGGTCATTGATGAACTTGCCAAAAAGACGAGGAATCTGAACATAATATTCTAAAATATTAAAACATTTTAAAACATATTTGAAAATGTATAATGTTATTTAATATAGAATGATTATATTTACATGTGTTGAGTTATTAAATTATACAAAATATAGATAAGGGGTGTGTGGGCCTTGGGGGAAAAAGCCCCCCACAAGTTTACCCTACAAATTTATTTTGATCCCCCCCCCCATCAAACATTCTCAGTTACGCCACTGAATACGTATAAAGTACTTATATTTTTAACAATATTATATTTTGAAAACTTAATTGTCCGTGATATAATTAAACAAATTAAATTCAAAAAAATAAATTTTATTTCCTACCCGTCAAAACATAACTTTTAATATATTTGCTGGCTACATTGAGTAATTACTCTATGACCAGCTGGCATGCTTGTAACCATTACGAATCACACTCTCGTTGGATACAAAAATAGGTACAACACTTCCTTGCATTGAATACGGATATTGATAGTTTACAACCATCTGAATTCGAGAATTCGATACAAAATAAAAATATCGTTTATCAAATCAGACTGGGATAATAATATAATTATTTTCCGTGACCACAATCAAAATAATGTATGCGTGAGTATAGAATTTAGTGAAGTTATTAGTTACTTAATTAACTACTACGTAGCCATGGTGTATGGTCAATGAAGAAATCATTTTTCGGTTCAAAAATATTAGATACATCCATTTTATTGTTCAGTGATCCACGGTAAAAATTGGTTTGTTCGTTGGTGTTTGATATATTGTATCTTATAAAACATATTTTCATCAACGATCAACAATCTTAGTCGTACAAAAGACTGCTGTCAAGTACAGATTACAGTTGAAAGGTATTATTTAATTAATTTCATTGTTTTCTAATTAAAATATATTTTTTTAAATTGTTTTAATGATAACTATTGCTAAAGCGTATAGTTGTGCATGATGTTGTTTTAAAACTAGATATTTTACTTCACGTATGAAGTAATTTTATTAGACCTGTTGGTTTTACTCTAAGATTTGTTTAATTTATTCTATAGTAAAGTTTTGCCTCCAGAATCGTTTTGTATTCATCCATCTACTGTTAAATGAAATTACACAGAATTTAATTTATAAATAATTATATTAAGGTTATAAATAATATTTTTTTGCGAGACTATAATAATATAATTAAATCAATTATAAGTAACTAGTAATTATTTTTAAAACAAAATTTTTGCCCCTCAAATTTTGGCCTTACCTATCTCCTAAATTGATGGATAATAAATAGTAATTACATAATTTAACTATAGATCCCCTGTATTAATTTATGTTACTTATAAAAAAATTGTATTTTCAGAAATATTAATTTTTTCAATTAATAACAACTATGGAAGCTAGTCTTAAACCAGTTGTAAGTATTAAATGTTGTATAATTTAAAATATTTGAAATTCAATGTAATTATTAATAACATTAATCATACATACAACAATTATTGAATCTTACTAAAAATGTGTATTATATATTTATAAATATATGTCTAAGTTAATAAAATACAATTTATTGTACTGTTGTATATTTTTTTTTTAAGATATGTTTCATTTTATTGAATTAATCTTATTTTTAGAAAATATTTTGAATTATTTTTTTAAACGATTTTACTTTAGGAAATATTTAATTTGGTACGATCAATTGTCCAAAATGTAAATATTAACAATTTTGAGGAAATGGCACACACAATTATTTCCATACCACTGAAAACAATTTATATATTTGAAAACATAGTGGATATAATTTATTTTCGGGTATATAAATATTATTAATAATTATAACAGTTATTAAATTTATTGTTTTACTTATTTAGGCTTTAAATAGACCCGATTTTACAGTTTTATATGCAAAGTTATGTGCATACATGGCCAATCATGCTGCATTTAACAAACTTCACAATTATAAAACTACTTTTCAAAATGTTTTAGCACAAAAAATCTTCGATATGTTTACCTCATATTATACTCGTACTCCTCAGAATGAAGTACATAAATTGAAAAAAAATTTTATGAACAGTAATATGGTAACTAGTTATATAATTTGTTAATATAATAATAGTATTTTTGTGATTATATTAGATTTTATAATATAATCTATAATTATTAGTCTTAAGTCATTTCAAGCTTAAGATAAATCTCTCAGTACTGATACTTGCATAGTTAATTTTTTTTTATAAATAAACTGATTTGTAACATTTTAAATCAAGACTTATTCATACATAATATGATTTAGGTACCCAAATGTATATTATATAATTAACAATAATAGCTAATAATTAAACTGACTTGAGTAGAACTACTCAATCAAACTACTAAAACTTAACCATTCTTATTTGCTTTTGACTAAAACCAAATTATATTCAAATAAATTTTCCACCGATTGATAACATATGTTTTTTAATTTAATTATCAAATAATATAAATATTTTATATATGTTATAGACCCCATCTTTTTTCAAGAATATATTGAATAGTTTTCATTTCCAATATTATAAAAGGTCTTTAGCCCATTGCAAGTATGTTTTCAAGTAAAATTAATTAATAATTTGTATATATTGTACGAAATAATATTTTTATAGATTTATCGGTGAATTATTCAAACAAGGGGCTTTTACCGAAAAAAATATATTGTCGTTCATTCACGAATTGATGAAAGTAAAAGATATTCTGAATATTCATTGCTTATGTATAATATTACAAATAGCAGGACAAAAATTATCAAAAGTAATAACCAAAATAGTAAAGTATTAGGAAATTATAGAATAAATAATTTCTTATTTCATTTTTTTTAGACTCATAATTTGGACGGTATAGTACATCATATTTTATTATTTAAAAATGAAAACACTGTCCTCATAAAAATGTCACCAACTCTTCAGTCTTTGATATTCAAAATACAAAACTTGCATTTAAAATGTTGGATACATGAAGGTAATAATGTCAATTTTCAAATTATACTTTATAAATACTATTGTTCATTAGAAAAAATGTACTATTAAGTTACTACATTTATTTTAACAAATTTTTTTAAAATTTAGTTAGGTTTTATAATATGTTATGTATAATTATAATTTTTTTTTTTTTTTGTTATAATATATTCAACAGTTTGAATTTTAAAATTTCAAGTTATGCATTTTATTTATGTTTAGCAGTTATACAAAGTTGTAACATTACTTTCAAATTGTATATTAGAAAGTAGGATAAAATTATTTTGTAATTTTGTATTAGTATAAATTTTTATGCAGTAATAAATAATTGCTTTTAAAATTTTTTCTTAACAATGATCAGTTTGCAATAATGATTCCTTCAAATTTTCATAACGAAGACATCTATATCATATTTTATTAAATTAAATAAATAATATACAAGAATGGTACATGATATCTTCTGAACAGTTTTAATTTAATATATTAACTATTAACTATTTTAATAACTAATTTTTTACAGAACCTCTTAAGTTAATTGAGGACAATGAACAATATATTTCCTTTGAAAATTTGCCGGAGCAATTAAAACAACTATATGATCTTAAATCATATACAGTAATGGCCCAATGTATTATTGATGAATGTATGGCTGTTCTTAACGGTTTTGACAAGATAAATATCAATGTATGTAGTAGGTTTATTTATTTTATTATCAGTATTTTAAATATAAAAATAAAATAAAAAATATAAAATAAGATGAAGAATATATTTTGATTATTGTATTACTATTAGATTGTTATTATGAAGAAGAATAATAAATAATTATTCCACATTTTTTATAACTCATCAAACAAATCCACTAAGACATCCTAGATATCGATCATCAGAAACTTGAAATTTGAAATATCTATTTCTTACTAATATTAAACTTTTTTTTTTACACAAATATCTTAAAACATATAATTATTTAACCATCAAAGTTTATATTATTATACATTATAATACCAATAACTTTTTGATTACACCTTATGTTTATTTATTTAAAAATATTTACAGGAAATAGTACATTCGTTAAAATATATCAACTCGTGGCTACATTACGATCAAGTGTCATTCGTTGCTTCTATGATACTTATAACACTAAACGAAGACCAAAGTATTCGCCAAAAGGCTGGTATACTTTTAAACTTATTTATTAAGAAAGGCTTGTTATTAATTGATTCGGTTTTATCGGGGTAAATATAATAATATAAATTTTCTGTATTGTACATTTTATTAATTATTATTTTCTTTTTATTTCATATATTAGAATTGACAAAATAATGGATGACTCAGAATTGAAAATAGAACTTCCAAGATTATCAGATTTATTATTTGACATCACTAGTAGGATTACATATCTGAATTAATTTTGTATAACTTAATTTATACTGTTTTGTATTGTATATTCTAATTGCTTTTTACTTGAATTTAATATTTTTAAATCGAGGTTTTGTCTAAAATTTTTTTTTGAGTTATTATACAATTTTCGTTGGTCTAAATGTGAAATAAATTATTATTGTTAAATAATCCATATTTTAGTCATTACCTACTAATCTTTAATTTCGCATTTTTTGAATACTTTTGGCATAATAATCAAAAATATTCAACTGCTTACATAAACAATAAATTGAATTGTTAATTTTTATTTTTTTTTTTTTGAGATTTCACATGTCTCTGTTTTTATCATTTTTGTTGATTGTATCTCATAGGCATTCTTGGCTGTGATAAATTTCTATAAACTTAATCACAACCGTCGATCAAACATGTTTAAATTTGCCATTGTTTTTATTTTATTAGTTAACTACTCAATCTAAAAAGTAAAAAAATATAAGCACAAGTTTAAATTAAGATATATATTTAAAAAACCACAAAATAAGAATATATCATAATAATCGACATGAACGGATTCATACAAGTTTCGAATGTTTGATAAAAATAAACGCCCAAGAGATTTGAAAAACTATGTACATTTGTTGATAGTTTTAGAAGCCAATTATCGTACCAAATAATCTCGGCACGTGTAAACGTGAATTCTCAAAAACCGCGTGAGTTATTATCATGGTGTAAATAATCATGATATGACTCTCGAACAAAAAATCTTGTATTCGATAATCGCATGAAAGATGCTCGAATGGTAGGTACGAGAAATGAGAAACTCTTTCCGTGTAAATCCGTTTAGACTTATTAAAGTATTAACATTTTTAAAATATAAATAATAGTACACCAGATAAAAATAGTATTAATTTTATAATCGACTAATTTATTGTATAAACTGATATACCTACCTGCATATTGTAAAATTATAAAAACCTATTTGATAATAGAAACGAAATCGATATTCGGCAGGTCGGTCGACGGGTGGAAGAATAATAACATATATCAACTGAAATTATAATATATTTTTTTTTAATACAAAACTATATGAAATCTTGGAGTACTGAGAAATCAAATGTGCTCTAATTCTGTGTTTGGAAATAATATATGATATTCAACCATAATTATCTTGACTTATATCTCTTCTAGTTTTTTTTTATCCACGAATAGATCAACTATAGATATATAATACTAGTTCACAAGCTTTTCTTCCTATAATTCTAAGACAATTGTATAATTATATAAATTAAATTCTAATTCATTTATGTATACATTTTTATTAATAATATAAATTAAGTTAATAACAATTCATTTAAATTTAAAAAAAAATAATATAAGTATTTATGCTTTTCATTGCGACATTAAACTTTTTGTAATTATTATAAAGATGAATTATCACAAAAACAAATCAATTAGGTAAATAATATATCCTTATATAAATATGTTCTAAATGTATAATTCAATTTAAATAGTAAACAGTATGTCCGAGGTTAGTAATTATAATAGCTGTGCACTTGTGCTTAATAAAATACATTACATGTGTTGAGTTATTAAATTATACAAAATATAGATAAGGGGTGTGTGGGCCGTGGGGGAAAAGGCCCCCCACAAGTTTACCCTACAAATTTATTTTGAACCCCCCCCATCAAACATTCTCAGTTACGCCACTGCTCCACCCAGTGGTGTATACAGTTATACAGTGTATACACTAAATATTTTCGGGAGGGGCTTCTAGGTACGCCCTTGCAGTAGATACTTATCTACATTTCATTTAAAGAATGTCCCATAACCTGTGCTTGACTTGGCAAAATTTAAGAACTGGGACTCTATTTACTTTAAAAAAAAGAACGTCTCCAAAACTGGCTGAGCGTTATGATTATAGCGTAATAATAGTAGGGGGACGCTAAAATTTCTGAAAATTAGTTGGGGTACTCCGTCCCCCTGCGCCCCCCCTAAAGTCGAGCACTGCCCATAACTATTTGACAAAAGCAATAAAAATTGTCTCAACTGATCACATTATTTACGTAATTGCTATAGTAAGTATAATCCTGTATTTATGAATAAAGGGTATATGATGTGGTACTTGACTATTTAATATACATATATATGTGTCTACTGCACTATTCCTATAATAAAATATGCTATGAATAATATGTATTATACAATTATAATTTATTTATTTATTATATAATTAACTCTTAATAGTAAGCATTGAACCATAAATTGAGAACCTTAAAATATTTTAAAGAACTATTGAAGTACAATTGAATAAAATAAATGTAACCAGGTTAAAATCATTTTTCTATTTTTATTTTTTTATAAAATTATTTTCAAATAAGCATTAAGTACCATTAAAATATAACAAACGTTTAAAATAATTTTCAAGTTTTTTGAAACATATTGGGGGGGTTGTTGTAGCCCACTAGGCATCCCCTCTATATACGCCATTGCCCCACCCGTAAAACCTCCATTTCTTTTGAGTTTTATCTCCGTGTACATTGTATGTCAAGTGTTTACTCTAATTTACCTAGCTAGGGAATAAAGCGGCAATTGCTAAAGTATTCTAGAAACTGTGTACACTTAGAGATTATATGTAGACAGTTTTACCTAGAGTAATTTTACAAGAAAAAATCTAATGTATGGGTTAGGTAGCGTAAAGCTAATCCCGCGACGCTGATTGAGAAACGATGAAATGGATGATAGCCTACGGATAAAAATAATTAATGTAAATATGTCATTAAATTAGTGTGAGGCAAATTTACATCACAGTCAATGTGAATTGGTTTGCACGATACATCGTAGTTACTCCATAACTATATAGTGTTAACATACAAAATGTAAGAGGGGAATCAAAATTTATAATTCATAATTTTTGAATATTTAATTGTATAATTATTTAAATGTCTATCCTGTTTGAAGTGAGTGAAACATATAATGGCCGTCGTTGTTATTATTAATAATTATGAATTTTAATAATCACGAATCAATGTTTAAATTAAAGACTATCTAACGTTGATCAACCAGACTTAGCAATAACAATTGATGGACTACTTTGAATTGATTTTAGTTTGGATATTTTAAGTCATCGAGTACTTCAGAATCCCGAAACACTACAACGCTAATGAATTAATCCAGTAACGCAACTGTTGCACCGTTTACTCCAACAGAGTTAATAGGTATTCGTATCGTATAATAAATAATAGTTCATAATTCAAGTCGACTTCTAAGCGAAGGTCGTAATACGACAAAAACTGAAATTCGTAATTTCCAACGGTAGATCCTACAGAAAACCGGTAACGGACCGATCCATGAATTTTAATTCGTACCTATTACTTAGTAGGGATGTGTCGTTCATGAACGACCTAGTTCAACGAACGATTGGTTGATAAACGAACGATAAGAATAATTAAATCGGACGAATGACGACCCGTTCGTTCGCGAACGACACACCTCTAATTCAGTCAATCCGTGTATCGTTCAGTGAACGATGAATGAACGAACTACTATATCTAACTGAACGAAACTTCAAGTTCCCAATTTCCCATTCTCAATTAAACAGAACTACGAGATATACATTACATAAGCCGTGTATCGATCAGTGAACTAGTTCAATTAAGTGAACGATGAACGAACGAACTAGTTCACTCAACTGAACGAAACTTCTCATCCCTATTACTTAGTGCGTGAGCCGACGGAGAACTTATATTTTTTATTTTTCAAACGACATCGATTATCCTTTTATCACGCAGGCAACCAAAGTCCGAGATAAGAGATATGCCGCAGCCGCGGAATGGCAACAGCACGTCCGACAACCGTGTCAGGCTGACCGGTTGGCGACGCCGCGGCCGGTCGGATTGCCCGTACAGTGCGTGCGAGTCGCGGGGAAACGTAATCGTGGACCCGGGGTTGACGTTCGGCCGATGTCAAGGAGTATGCGTTTTCGTGCGTTCCGAACGCGACCGCCGTCTCTCGAACGTTCTAGAAACTACTCACTCATTCGATAAAACGTCGTGCATGTCATCCTTTCTCGATCCGCATTCATAGCTTTGCAGTTGTGTTTTGTCGGCTGCGTGTATCCTGACGCTCAAACCGTGAACAAACGGCTATAGTTCTACATTTATATATATATATATATATATACACATACATATACGTTTTGGTATAATCGACGAAACTGAAATAGTTAGCAACCAGTTTCCGCAGCAAGTCGCACCACACATCGAGTTCTCACGGTTCGTTTGTTTGGCGTTGTATTTTAGCCGGCACACGCGTTCAATGTAAGTAAAAGTCCTATTTTCCTAACGCGTTATCTTCATCGCCATTGTCTCGCGCGCGTTACCTCGCCGCGTGCCAAGCTAAAGCTGACCCTGGTCGCCCGCAACTGTGCGTTCCGATTGATTTCCCGTTAATCATTAACCGTGCGCACGCTATACTTCCGCACGGTTTACAGGCGTTCGTTTCGGAAAGCTGGTTATCGCCATTTTTTTTTATTTTCTGTCTTTTACTCGCGCGTTACAATTGTCGTCTGTGACTCGCTTTTGTTTCGCGCTCGACGCGATCTTAAACCTGGTCCGGCGGAAACAAAAGGAAAAATCACGTTCGGTTTATGCGTGCGTGCGTCGTAAAACGACCCATCGATGTTATTTCGTACATATGAATTTTATTGAACGTATAGAAGACGCAACGCATCATATGAACTGATACGTTTGTTAAGTTCATTTGCGATGGCCATTTATTTAATTTTATTCGCACTAGCAACCAGACTACGTGAAAATCGATAATTGGTCGATATTCTGTGCTTATTTATGTGTATGCGTGTGTGTGAGTTGTGACATTTCTTTGTTGTTCAGTTGGTATTTTGTGTAACTTCATTCTTATGCGTTTGCATATTTTAGGATAGGATTTAGGAAGAATGAATTAAGGTTTTGGTCGTTGTGAAATGTATTCCGATCGATTTTCTACCCATGTGATTGGGTGTCCACACTACATTGTCGTCGTCAGTGAGGGTTGTCCCCACGCATGACCTTTTTTTTTTTCAATTGTTTATTATTTATATCATACTAGGTAGGAAAAAACTTATTTGTTAATAAACCCCCTCCCCACCATAAAATGGTTAATTCCACTATCGTTTACCAATAATTTTTATTTAGACTATAATTAACGGTGCTTTAAACTTAGGATGATAATTCTCAACTGGCTTTATGCAGGTTTTAATAAGTTTATAAAATTATTTTTAGTGTTTTCGACTTGACTTAATTATTTAGAGATAGCAATTATTAAATTTGATACTTAGTAGTTACTAATTATTCTAAATATTAAATGTATTAAATTTATTACATATGCAAAACTAAACACAAAAAGTTAATACTTAAATATTTTCGCTTTAACATTAATTCCATATGTATTTTATTGATTAACATGTATGTTATGAACCCCTTTTTAATTGAGGAGTTTTGTCAATATATTTTTAAATACATGTTATATATCTTTAATCTTAAAATATGTTTTATTTTAACATTTATCAAAATTTCTATAATTTTTCTTTATACTTGCCTAATTTTATTTTTTATATAACATATTGATTTTGTTTTTTTGTTTTAATCTAAGTTAAACCAGGGTGGTCCAACCCAAGGCCCTTAATGCCTTTTTTTTTGCCCCCCTCCCCTCAGTTTAATTAGTTATTTATTTTATTAATTTAAAATTAGTCATAATAATATTTTAACTAAATCATGATATTATTGTATAAATTTTACATTTTATATTCATAGTCTATGGTGTTTATGCTATAAAATGTAGGAATACGACAGAAGTTCTCGTGATAAAACTATGGATGGCATAAATTTTATTCACAATCGTGAGCATTAAATATTTCTCTAACCTAAACTTATTCAGTAATTAATAACCAGTCGAGCTCGTTTATTCGTGCACCTGTGCGCATAATATAAAATTATAAAATAAAATATAAATAGTCAAAATATATTTTTTTTTCTTCTGGCGGCCCCCAGTGTATTTAAGAAAATATAAATTTGCCCGCAAACCACAAAAGGTTAACCACCCTGAGTTAAATAATAATGATATATTTTAATAGAGATATGAATAGTTTCAACAATTTGATAACCTATTAGTATTGTTTTATGTATTTTAATTTTTTCCTTTTCTTTAGTGTTTTCACTTTAAAAATAATTATATATGCTTGTACTTAAGAGCTGTGTAATTTAGATTGGCTTTGTGTGGTCTGAGATACAACCCAATTGATGTATTGGTTATATTATTAATTGTAAGTTTTTGTTTCATTCGACATTATTGTACTTTTTTGTTATTATTAATATCTTGATTTGACAACATTGACTCATTGTTTTAATAAACTATCTATAAAATAATTATCTATAGATGAACATTTTAAATAATAAAACTGATTTTTCTGATTAAAAATTACTTTTTATCAATTTTATTCTTCATAATTCTATATTCTATATTTTTTATTGAGTTGCAATTTTTTTAATACATTTTATTTCTGTTCCTGGAATCAAAAATGTTGGTAATTTGATGTTAAAGCTCTATGGTTTTTGGTAGGTATTTTGTTTAAGAAATAAATTGTATATAATTGTTATATATTCTTGAAAATTATTGTTTTTGTTGTATTGAGATTTACATGTATATTAATTATTTATGACTAAGTAGTCTCTTAAGGTTTTATTCTCAGTTTTCAAAATTGTAATTAATAATTGTCTTATTTGCTTAGGTGTTTTACATAATTTTTGTTTTAAAGATTTTTTTTAATTATAAACCTAAATTTACTTTCAACAAAAACATGTAACTATACTGTTATTTAATATTTAATTAGTTCTTTAAAAATCTTTAATTATTAATTTTCTTATTATATTAACTATTTCTGATTTATAAAGCATTAAAAATTATTAAACTTTGTTTCAGACCTTGGTGAAATAATTTAAATTGAATTTATTATCAACATGGTTAAAGAAACAACTTACTATGATATCCTAGGTGTAAAACCTAATTGTACTAGTGATGAGCTCAAAAAAGCCTATAGAAAACTTGCTTTAAAGTATCATCCTGACAAGAACCCAAATGAGGGTGAAAAGGTAAAGAAATATATTTTGTTAAAATCTAAAATTAATTATAAATACTTATCTGTTTTAGTATTTATTGTAAGTTTCTGATTAATTTATACTTCTGTTTTAAACGTTATAGTTCAAACAAATTTCTCAAGCTTATGAAGTATTATCTACACCAGAAAAACGTAGATTATATGATCAAGGTGGCGAACAAGCGCTTAAAGAAGGTGGAGTTGGTAACTCTTTCTCTTCACCTATGGATCTGTTTGATATGTTCTTTGGTCAATTTGGTGGATCTGGTGGTCGTGGCCGTGGCCGTCATGGACCTCAAAAGGGCAAAGATGTTGTTCATCAATTGAGTGTTTCTCTTGAGGATTTGTACAATGGCTGTGTAAGGAAATTAGCATTAGAAAAAAATGTTATTTGTGAAAAATGTGAGGGTAGAGGTGGCAAAAAAGGAGCAGTCGAGTCTTGTCCAGCATGCCAAGGTAGTGGAATTCAAGTGCAAATTCACCAATTGGGACCAGGCATGATCCAACAAGTACAGACTATGTGTAGTGAGTGTCGTGGAATGGGTGAACGCATTAACCCTAAAGATAAATGTAGGACTTGCAATGGAAAGAAAGTAAGTTTTTTTTTTCTTCTAAATTTATTAATACACGTGTATTATAAATTAATAAATATGAATTTTTAAGGTTGTTCGTGAGAGGAAAATTTTGGAAGTGAATGTAGACAAAGGAATGGTAGACGGTCAAAAAATAACATTCAGTGGTGAAGGTGATCAAGAATCTGGACTCGAACCAGGCGATATAATTATTGTGTTAGATGAAAGAGAACATCGTACTTACAAGTTAGAAATACTTTTAAATAATTTTTAATACTTTATTATGTTTAATTTATAATATAGATATTAATATAATTATTCTTGTAATTAAATAGGAGAAGCGGAAATGATTTGATTCTTCGTTTAGAAATTGAATTAGTAGAGGCACTGTGTGGATTCCGTAAAGTTATTAAAACATTAGATGAACGTTCTTTAGTAATAACTGCTATTCCAGGTAAATTAAAATGAAATAACAACATTTAAAATAATATGAAATTACTTAATAATGGGTTTTAGGTGAAGTTTTGAAACATGGTGATGTGAAATGTGTTATGAATGAAGGTATGCCTCAATATAAGAACCCATTTGAAAAAGGTCGTTTAATCATCCAGTTCCTGGTTAATTTCCCAGAAAAATTGCCTCCCCAAAAGATAGATCTTCTTGAATCATGTCTTCCTCCTAGGTAAGAAACGCGTTATTAAATTATTTTCATAGTATAAATGAGATGAAAATAATAAAATACGCTACCATAAAATTACTACTTAGAACTAAAAGCCAATATTTAATTTGAGCTTCAATTAGTAAAATATAATTTATTTTAAACCTCAATGTGAGAAAACATGTTTTATTTATATTTAATTATTAGCTAAACTATTAATATTATAATTTCTTAACTAATATGTTAGTTATTAATTAATAATAAATGTTAAATTTCCTTAACATTCTATGTTACATTTTAATTTAATGATTAATTTGTTACCTAAGTTATTTTGACCTACTTTAGATAAAAATAATTTTGTTAAGGTATCCATCAGTGTTTATTAAATACTAATTTGTTTATTTTTTATATAGACCAGAAGAAGTTATTCCAGAATCATCTGAAGAAGTTACTCTATCAGAAATGGATCCTGATTATGAATCTAGGAGGCAAAATAGACGTGATGCCTTTGAAGATGATGGTCCTACTCGAAATGTGCAATGTGCTTCACACTAATGTTTTCTTCTTAAGTCAATATTATACAGTACCATGTTATCTGTACTCATTCCGTTATAAGACACCGAGCAAACAAAATTTGATAACTTGTGAAAAATATTAGACCTTAATTGGATATACAGTATTTCTTTCCTACTATAATATATATCGTATATATTATATACCACTTTTTTTTTAATCAAAAGTTAGAAAATTCATTTAATTGCTTTCTGCTGATCAATACATTAGTACACTCCATTTTTAGTGTTACTTGATTTTAATTTGATAAAAAATGATTTTCATTTCTATTTTACACAGAATCATGTATTTATTTTTTCCCTTTACTAATATTAGTATTAATTATTATTTCTATCCTAATTGATATCATGGTTTTAATATAAGAACTTATGTGTTATCATTTCTTTTATTGATCATGCAATTTCAGTTGAGATAGAAATTCTAATCAATATTTTTATTACCATTTATGTTATTCCTTTTAAATATTCTTCATTTTTATTAGTTGGTTGATTTCCAGTGTAAAATGTTCTTAGCTTTAATGGTTAAAGCATGAACTTTGATTTAAGTGTGTACTATGATATATTTAAATTAACATGAAATCAATAAACAACTTTATTTAATTTAGTTATTTCTATTTACATTTTTGGATTTTAATTTGCATTAAATTAAGTTTTTAATCAATAATAGTAAGTATTAAGTAATTCAATATTTAATTTTTTTTTTTTTTAAGGAAATTGGCAAATAATACATCTGCCACCTGGAAATGCTGTTTAGCAATTCTTCAGGTAGAAAGTAGTGTTAAATGCCTAATAATATGTTTATTCTGTGTGGAAAATACAAATGAACTAATCATGTTACTCTGAACAGTAAACCAGTGGTTTTCAACCTTTTTCAAATCATGACATCCAATTTATATTATATTAATAAAAAATATTATTTGTATTATTAATAATATAACATGAACAATTCTTAATACATATGCTCCAATAAATTAAATAATATGAAAATGTGTATATTAGTAATTTTATAGTTTTAATGGAAACTTGTGCTTGAATTTTTTACTAAGTTTTCATATTAAGTTTTTATACAAGAAACTGCTACTCTAAGGTCTATTTTTTTAATAAAACTGATTATGAAAGAAATATATGCATCTAAAATATTAAAATACATGTATTTGGTACAACTGTTGATATAACCAGATATTAGAATGCCAATCCAATGAAAAATTGTGACCATGATCAATAATCTCTCATCAGATAATACTACTATTTTATTCAATATATTATTGTATATACGTAATAATTAGATAGATTTTCACTATAAAATGTTTTGTTCTGAATTATTTATTCATTATTTTTGGTGACAACTGTTATTTGTCACCTACAGATTGAAAACCACTGGTCCAAACTGATAATTGTTTCTTTTGTTTGGTTTAAATAGATTAAATTGAAAATATATAGGATATTGCATTAATAAATATGAAATCAATATTTTACATTTCAAGTTTAATACAAGCAGAAAGTAACAGAAAGTTATCTAAGTGGTTAAGAATCTTATTAAATTAATAAATCAATATAACAATGAATTTTCAATTATTTTTAGGCAATAACTAAAACTACTTTTTAGTTGTGTGTCGAACTAGACTTGCATGGTTTACCTCATGTTACTGGATATTCAGTATTTTATTGGTTGATTTATTATTGATTGTTTTTGCAATTTGGTAATCTGTGTCTCTTGGAAAACGAGTTAAAAATAATAACCGAAAAAACTGATATTTTATAATAAAAAATCTTATGTACATACATACAACTAGTTCATGAATAAACTACTTGGAGGAAGCGTTGATTTGGATTGTTTTGGGCCTTATTTTTAGACTACATTTAGAATTTGACTATGAACATAATAATGTAAATTTGGAAAGGCTGTTCTTGAAACTGTGATAAAACACTTTCTTTTAATTATATCAATTATGTCAATTTATGTTTTATTAACATTAGTGAATCAAATAAAAATAAAAAAAATTTTCTGATTAACATGAAGATTTTTATCTGGATTTAGTAATTTTGTTCACGTGTGTATGTAAATATTACTTATGTGTTTTAAAGATCAGAAATTGATTGTTATGGATCTCATTTAAATATATTTTTTTAAATTTCTTAAACAATAGCAGAATGTTATCTATTTTTGTATTAAGGTTGATTAAATATGTTAACAATGTTAATTTTAGGGGCAAATGTTTTCTACAATTTTTATTATTTTAAAAATAAACCAATTTCCTGCAGCCTAATTCACTGTTTCATTAATCTGTTTTTTAATTTTAATTACCTATTATAACATTTTTTAAGGATATTAGCTAATTTTGTTTTCATTAATAACATTCTTTACATTTTTCATATACTAAAATAGATGAAATAAAGTTTTTTTTTTAACTTCTTTTTAAAATAAACTTTGAAAAATGTCATCTTTAAATTAAATATTTGAGTAAGTACTTTAAATACAAATTATTCTTCCATAATAAAATGTAAAAATACTTACAATTTTCCCTGAATCCATTAATTTTATTACTGTTTTCATCTAATTAAATTTTTATATTTACAAATATATATGGAAAAATTCTGAACAAGATTATAATGTGTAAATATGGTAACCAACTTAATCCAAGCTGAAATTTATCTGATTAAAGAAAATAATTTAAAAGAAAGATCATGATTGGCTGTACACATAAGTTGGTGTAAATCTAAATTTTGAGATCACTCATTATTATTGATTTTCAATAGCAATTAAATACATTTCATTTTTAGAGGAAAAAGAGATTTTTTAAATTTTGTTTTAATTAAAAAAACGATATAAATACCTAGATAAATGTTATAGTTTATTGTTCAAATAAATAATTTACTCTAAAGGAGCACTAAAAAATGCAACACTTTTATCCTCTACCAAAATTACTATACAGAATACTTAGGGTATATTGTTGAACAAAGACTACTAGTTTACTAGAATATTTAATAAATAAAAACCTGTTACACAAGAAAATAAATAAACAAGTTTTATATTTATTTTTAAAATATTTATATGATTTAAACATGAAAAGTAAGCAAGGATGCGAGGCAAAGGGTATTGATAAAGTTAGTAAATAATATTGGTTTCATTCAAATAAATTATATATTGATATTTTCATGGCAGTCATTGGACTTTTTGAAGCACATAATATGTTATGAGGCTCGAGGTCTGTGTGAAATGCCTATAAGGATATTGGAGAAAAAATAAATGTTATGCTTGCCTGTAGTCGAAGTGTCTAGGAATATTATTGGGAGGGTGAGGGATGTTGAGTCTTACAATATTCTTAAGTTACCAATATGTCTGAATCCTTTTAAGCATGTTTGTAGTAAGATCCCATGTGACATTTCCATACTCTAAGAGAAAACATACGAGTGTAGAGTAAAATGACTTAAGGGGAAACATCAAATGGGAAGTCTGATTACACATTTTTGTGTTTATTCATGACATTATTTAACGTTGGTAATTGCTTAGAAATAAATATAATACAATAAATGTCAATTATTTTTATGAACCAAATATGTTTTGAAAAATTATAATTATAAATTTTTGATCTGGTGATTTAGGAAAATCTGTCATCACATTTATTTCATAATAAAATAAAATAAAACACACTTTTGGTTTAAATATTTTATCAATAATTAAGTATTTAAACACAACTTATATAAAATATTTTCCGCTTAACCCAAAATGTACTAATCAAGTAGTACAAATAACAATTTATTATTTCATGATAAAACATTTCCATTAATTAACATTCATGTACAGCTTCAATCATGGCTTTTAAATGTTCCGGATCAACATCAGGATATATACCATGCCCCAAATTTGCTATGTATCTTTTCTTAGTGAATTTGGACACCATGTCTTTAACCATTTCTTTAATTTGGTTTGGTGGACCATACAATGAGCACGGGTCTAGATTGCCTTGGAAAGTCTTATTATTACCAACAACTTTCCTAGCTTCAACAGGATCTATTGTCCAATCCAAACCAATTACATCGTATTCAAATGTAGATATTTGTTTAATAGCATAGTGACCCCCTTTGGCAAATACTACCATTGGTACACTTTTATCCTTTAATTCATTTTTAACACGAGAGCAAATAGCTGACAGATATGGACCACTGAATCTAAGAACACAAAAGTTGAATTAATTTTATTTCATTATGGCGTAATATAAATTATTTACTTGTTGAATAGTTCAAGATTTAAATATTCTGCATTGGATTCAAATACTTGTAACATTTGAGCACCAGCTTTTACCTGTTCTATTAGATATTTTACAATAACGTCTGTAAGTAATTGTAATAATTTTTTGCTTTCTTCTGGATATTTATACAACCATTTTTTGGCTTTAGACATTGTTTTGGAACCACCACCTTCTATCATGTAACACATGAGAGTCCAGGGTGCACCAGTAAACCCTATTAAAGGTACCTAAAAAAATATTACTTTTCATTAAACAGTAAGTCGGTCAGATGTTGTAAAAGATTCAGAAGATGAGTTGAAAAGGTTTGGTAATTATTTTCACATGCCATTTTAATAAAAACTATTGGTTATAATACCAGGTAATGGTTTGAATATGTACAGAAATAAATCTCGTCATTTATTAAACCAATATGTAGAGTGCTTAGTGAATGATAAAATTTACTGGTGTTTTACCTTGCCATTTAACCGATGTCGAGTCAATGTTATCGCTTCAAACACATATCCTAATTCCTGTTTGACGTCAACAGACGAGTTCAGTCTGTCTAAATCTATGGGTTCCTTAAGAGGATCTGGAATAACAGGCCCAACGCTAGGTTGCATTTCAACTATCATACCCAATGCCTGCACAATCACCAGAATATCACTGAAAATAATAGAAGCATCCAAGTCGTACCGTTGAATTGGTTGCAGAGTGACTTCGCAGGCAAGCTCAGGTGTTCGGCATATGGTGAAAAAGTCATAACGTGATCGTAACTCTCTAAATTCCGGTAAATATCTACCAGCTTGACGCATTACCCACACTGGAATACGATCGACTTCTTCACCTCTAGAAGCTCGTAATATACGATCATTTTTTAGTGCCGGAAAATTCATACTGTTAAATTTTATTTAATACAAATAAACAAAATAATGTTAAATGGTAGTAAAAAGAGAGAATATGCACCCCGACTTCTCAAACGGTAAATGTTAAATGGTAGTAAAAAGAGAGAATATTCATCCCGACTTCTGAAACGGTGTATATAATTATGCTCTACGAACCTCTAAGCCATTTTGATGATCTGATAGCCACTGATATGTTAACAAATTTGATAAAATCGTTATCATTTTTTAAACGTTTTGTTCTTAGATCAATAAATGATTATATGATCTAAGGCAGTGCTTCCCAAACTTTTTCGACTCACGGCGCCCTTTTTGATTTAAGGTTTTTTCAGGGCGTCCTTCTCTAAGTCATAGCATGACTCATCATAAGGAAAATGTTAGACCCAATAGTATTTCATCACAGCGCGACGCCCTTGTACAAACATCGCGGCGCACCGGGGCGCCGCGACGCACACTTTGAGAACCTATGATCTAAGGTCTTGTTGAACTAAATGTTGATTTACTTTTTAAATCATTAGTTATTAAGCACGTTATGTAACACTTATCACGTACGTGAGGAAAGTAGTATATATTCATACTGACAATGTACATTTATTTACGATAAACGCTAAAATAAATAGATAAATAGCGATAATGTCAATAATCTCATTATAGTTAGTTTAATAATAGGTAATAGTTATTTATTTCATTATTTATTATTTCATTGTATGTAGTTGTTCGTGGTTTTTAGATTCTCTTCATACGTAATTATATTATTATAATCAGTGGCGTACATACCAGGAGGGAGGGAGTGTCCGGATTCAAACCCCCCTAGGCCAAAAAAAAAAAAAGAATTTTTTTTTATTATTGATGGCGTGTAATATATTCGTAATTTCATTATTACGCTTTGAACTTAAAATATACAATTATACAAATATTATGATAGTTAAATAATTATATTGATAGGTGTTTAAAAAGTCTTGTTAACTATGCTGTTTTTATATTCCAATAGCTATTAATTTACTGTAATATAAAAGTAAACTGTAAATTGGTAAAAAATGTTGTATAAAAGTTATTTATCTTATTTATTTGTGCAACGAAAAAAAAAAGATAAAGATTATTTTTGTTAAACCCTCCTTTCTCCCCAAGAGCAAAATTGAATGTACGCCACTGATTATAATATAATAATATTCAAAGTAGGTTAGATCTACATTACACCAAACGTTTAGACTATATACTAATATATTTCCTAATAATAATAATAATTACAATAACTGCATTCGCCAGTTTTTATAACTAACCTAATACTAAACTGATGAATAATTAAACAATTTGCCATTGTTATTAATAGAGAATGAATGTTAAAAGAATTTAATTTTTAAAGATTTTATCGAAAAATTTGCTTCTTCCTTCCAGATGTCGAATGAGACTGATATAATTAATAACTATCATATCCCAATTTGAAGGATTTATTTTTATTGATTTTACGTAGTTATTAATTATTAATAAACATTTTTTAACTCTTAAGAAATTATGTTTTATTATTTAAATAAAATGCATTACTTAATTATTGTATATTTTATAGTAAATAAATTATAACAGCCTAGTATTTTAGTTATTTAAAGGTGGCAATTTTTCACAGGCCTACAAGCGAAGAACAAATAAATACGCCTCTAAGAGGTTAGGATGCATAGCTAGGGCCGGATTTAGGAAGGGCCCAGGCCCCAGGCACCTCACAAAATTCAATTAATAAGAGGCCCCCACAAAATAATTATCTTTTTTTTTAATTTTTCTAATAATTTGCAAAAAATTTATATTTTTTTTTTAAGTTTGACAAGTGGCGCTATTAGTGTGTGATTAAACGAATCACTAAATTGAGATTGGTAATTTTTTACCATTACAATTCAATTATTAATATAATTACTCAACTACAGTGTTGAGTGATTAATCGTTAATCATAATAGTTATTTGAATTTCAAAAATAATATTATTTCGTGTTTGTTGTATTAATAAAAATAGATGACTTTAAAGGTCACTTGTATTTCCTTATTAATTATATTAACATTTTATAAATCTATATTAATTATGATCAATAAACAAAATTGATGTGATAAAAAATTAATAGCATTATGAGGGAATAATCCATCAGTAATATAATTTTAAAGTTTAAGTTACCTACAAAGTATATAGATCAACTAAAAATTCTTATACCTATTTCAATCTTATGTGGGCCCTTGGGCCCCACAACCCTGAATCCGACCCATTGCATAGCATACACGCTGATTTCTAAATAATACTTAAATTATTTAAATTATATACGTAGGAATATGTTTTCAAATTGTATGACAGTATAAAGTTATTTTAGTTTTTTTTTTACGGCTACAAGGCAATACGGGTTACTAGAAAATCCGATAATGACAATAGTAATCTCTATCCTACATTTAAGATTTTTTTTGTTTTAAAAGCCAGGGAGATGCAAATGTACCCTCTTGCACCCCCTTGCGATGCTCATTATTTAGGATATTTGGATGTGTAATCGATATTCAATAATGTTCTACGATTGAAGGACTACTTTTTTAGCCACAAAACAATTTCCATGTCAAATAAGAAAATATATTTTTGTGTCTGGTTATGTATGGGCTTTTTGGGGTCAAAGGTGTAACTGATACTGGAATCTGTAAAGTTAATATTTTTTGTTATATCGTAACAAATATGTAATGTATAATTTTCTGGTAACCAGCATTGTATATGATTGTTTCATAATAATAATATTACTTCAATACCCAACGATCTCTCTATAAAAGTTCGAATTTGTATGATATTATTTCCTCAGGGTAAAATAGGTACAATACAAAATTAGATAATTATTTCAAAAATCTATTTTAAAAATACATAACAATATTATAATATATTATACATTTTACTTTTTAAATCAAAATAAACAGTAGGTACATATTAATATATTATTAATGCATATTATCGAATATGCATATACATATATATATATATATTATAGTTTATTTATGTAATGCGTTTCAAAATGAATGCTCCTTATATAATATTTATGTTGCTTCATATAATTTTTGCTAGTGATGTTAGTATATATAGTAGATGTGTACAGCACACACAATGTCCTTAATACACATATTATTACAAAGGACATTGTTTCCAAGATACGTAAAACGCACAATCACCACTTTTAGATTAACAGCGTATTGACTAAACATCATACTGTTAACACGGGTCGTATAGGTATTATATTTTTACAATTCAGTTTTGATGTTTTCTTGGACACCAAATAAAATAATTTTTATTGGTTCAATACTATTTAGTATCTACGCATATTGAATAATTCGAGCATCAAATAATGTCTTTTAAACTGCCAATGATACCAGGATTTCAAACTTATAACAAGGTAAACACATTTTATATTCATCATAGAATAATATGATATATGAATTCAAATAATAACCTCTAAGACCTTTATCTTACCTTTGTATTTTTCATTAATAGGAAATTAAAACGAGGTATCCGAAGACACCGGATTTGGATATAATGAGCGGCGTAAATATTATTAGATCATTACACGTAAAAAAAGAAAATAAAAGTTGTGATTCTAATTTTTATTCTTTGGTGGACATGTATACAGATCACAATGAAGGCAAAAAACCTACTTGGCTAGTGTTTGATAAACAGGTAGTAAACTGTTAGTTGTTAGAGGTAAACCTACAAACTTAATTAATACTTACCAAAGCTAATATATTTTTATACTTGCATCTATTCTAGAATTTAACATTTGATGCATACTTTAAAAGTACGGTAAATGAGAGCTTTGGTTGTAGCTATAACTTAAGAAAATGCAAAATAATTTATTTTCTTGAAGATGATACAATAAAAGTAGTTGAACCTATTGTGATCAATAGTGGTTTACCACAAGGTATTGTTATTAATTTATATATATACATATATAAAATATAATATAAATATATATGAAATAAATGAAATAAGTAAAATATTATTAAATAAAAATTAAAAATAATAAAATAAAGTGCGCAAATTTGTGACAAATAATTTATAATCCTAAGATTTAAGATTCAGGTATACATAGCATTTTTATACTATAAATTTTATGTCATTGATTTGAGATGTTTTATTCAATTTTCTACCGACAATATGCACATATGTAGAAATTTGTACCTTATGATTTTTTAAATTATCTATATGGCTATGACGTGCTGAAATTCAACCAAAACCCTAGCTGGATTATTTTATAGAATCGGAATTTTTTTTAGAAGATCAAAGAAAAAAAAATTAAATTTTTTGTTAACAATATGTGTAAATATAATATGGGAACTTATAGCATATATACACGTAACCTAACCTAAATATCGATCACATTTTTTTGAAGTGGGTATTTATTTTTCAATGCACATATTTAAATTATTATGTTAATATATAACATTTTGGAATATTTAGCTTTCTACTACTTAATGAAATAACATCATTGATAACATATAGTAGGTTTGGAAATATTGTATATTCAGTCGTAAAAGCTGAGATATTATTTTACTAGTGATCAAATGAATTATTTGAGTTGAGAAATATTCACATAGTTTCATCCAATATACCTAATATATAATAAACAAATTCAAAAGAATAAAAATAAAATATATATTTATAAAAATACCTACATATAAATCAAATAATTTTTTTATTTTACCTTTATATTTTTTCACTGTAAATATATGTTTAAATATATAATAATTGTACACTGATTTGTTGGTTAATATTAACAAATAACAGGATGTTTGATCAAACGACATAAAATTCCTTTACCGAGCAGAAACGATAGTTATTATCAACTATTTGATTTCAATGTGGGAATAACTGTTGAATTTTATGGAAAACAATTTGAAATAATTGGCGCTGATAATTTTACTAGAGACTTTTTGAAAAAAGCAGGCGTTGATGTGCCTGAGAACCTACCAATGCCTACTGATCCATATTTTATTAATAGAGAAAAAGTAAGATAAAATAATATTATCGAATTAAATATAGTAAATATATATTTTGTTTAATATGATTATTATTTTGTACCTAACATATAATTTGCACTTTGTTTCATTTTTTGTATTACAAACCTTTATAGACACCAAGTAAAAACCAACCATCTACAAAAACAACGGTACCTAAATTAAAAAAATTACAAGGATTTGAAGGGATTTTAAATTTCAAAGGTTACTGGGATGATCGTTACAATGATGATGGTACCTTACATATTTTGGAAATACGATACTTTTTGTCCGATGACACAATACAAATTGTTGAACATGATTTAGATGGAGGTTTAAAAACGTTTCTTAAAAGACAAAAAATTCCAAAAGTATTCCAACTATAGAATATTATTAATCATAGCATCATTCATTGAGGTTAATTTGTCAATTTATTATGGATTAAAATTTGTTTTAGGATAGAGCATATGTAAAACCACCAGGTTATAACGAACAAAATGATTTACTCAACGTGTTGAGTTTAAATTCTATGAACCAATGGTATGCTTTTGATTCTTCAAAAAATATTATTGATGTACATGACTCGTATTATCATTGGTCTAATCTATACGTGGGAGCTGAAATAGACGTTTTTAGTCGAAAAGTAATTTTATCTAGTTGTGATGAATTCACTAAGCAATATTATTTGGATTATGGTTTAGGTAGATCTTGGATCAACTATTAATTATCGACAGTCAGTTATTTAATAGTTAAATATAAATACATTTTTATTTAGAGAACTTTCCATCTATTGATACTCCAAATGAAGTAGAAGGAAAAGAAAAAGAAAATATTCAAAATATACCGGTTTGTGACGATGAAAATATTTTGAATAAATTATTAAGTGTTTCAAAAATAGAAGCTTTGGTGTTTAAAGCAAATATTGTACCTAAAGAACCAAATAATTTAAATAGAGAATTTGTGATTAAGTATTTTTTAAACGACCAAAGTTTTTCGGTTTCCGAAATGAAAACACAAACGGCCGGTAAGTATATAGATGTGATTTAAAATTATTATTTTAATTGATTTAATATTTTTCTAGGTGCATTAGGATGTAGATTTTTTTCAAAACGAAAAATTCCGATGGAAACTCCTAATGAATCCAGTATGATACTTAAACTGTACATTGGTGCTAAATTGGTTATTGATAACTTTCAATTTGTTTTGGTCGACATTGAAGACAGGACATTAAGATTTATGATGGACCATCCAAAAGTAGTAAGTTTGAACGTACCATATGTCAATGCTAGGCGTGGATCCAGGGGGTCATGAGGATTTAAAAAACATTAATATTAGGTCCTTCATATTTCTATATAAAGTAGTATATGCAATAAAACAAAGAGATCAAACTTTGTCATTTAATTTTAAAAATTAACAATAATTTATAATAATTTATAATTTTAATTAATAATTTACTTGTATTACATTTTAGTTGTATATTATCTTGTTATTTTTTTAAAAAAAATGTCACCCTTTTATAGTTATAGATCCACGCCTGGTTATTGCTCACAATTAAAAAAATTAATTTAAACATATTTTAAATAGTTCCAACACAGCGATGTTACCTATATAATGAATGAAGTGTTTCAATTCCTAGAAACTGATGTTGATTCATTTAAAAACAAATATTTTCAAAACAAAAATAAAATCGAACGAGATATATTTATTAAAATTATGTCTAATCAGTTTCCAAAGTTAAGTCGCCATGGCATATTTGTTTTGGCACTACAGTACAAAAAGCAAGAAAAGTACAAAGAAATTTCTGACAATTTATTCAAAAGCATTTTGCAGGATGAGTTGAAAAGAGATTTGTTTCTTGGTTTCGACGGACTTGAGATTAATTTCAAACAAAGAAATTTGGATAAGAAGGATGGATATCTGGAACATAGCAGTGCTTTCAAAGCCTTGAAAAGCGCAAGACTGCCATTTTCCACTGAAATTATTAATATGATTTTGAAGAGGTAGGATATATAATTATTAACAATACTTTATACGAGTATTTTACTGTTAAAAAAGTAATTTAAGTTAATATTATAATTAGAAAAAATAAATTTGTTTAATTATTCAGTATTTATTTTATTTTTCTACTTCAAATATTTAATAAAATATAATTTTGATGTTGAGAACTGCTCTAACGAAGATCAATATTTTTGGAGTTATATATAAGTTATATATTAATATATAATTAGATAAATTATTGAGTCAAAATCAATTGCTAATCTAATTATTTTATAAAAATATGTACTTTATAACAAAAATAAAAATAGAATATGGTAGTAGCTTATTTCAACTCAACTTTACATATAATATAATAATGTTTCATTTACGTTATTCAACGTCATTTATATCTGTGATATAAAAATTACAATGTATATGAATACAATTGAATGCATAAATAATTTTAGTGATACATAATTTTTTATTGACTGACGTAGTGACATCATATCCGCAGACATAATTTTCATAATTTGTTGACATTAAGTAATTTTTTCAATTAATTTATTTTAGAAAAAAAAATCATGTGATGTTCGGTAAAAGTGATAATATTAAGACCCATAGTAAACACATTAATCGTATAGTGAAGAATAAACAATAATTTAGTTAATATTCTATACCTTGTATAATGGTATTAAGCAAGGATAGGCAACTTACGGATCGAGTACTTATTTTTTCTGGCCCATATTACATTTTCAAAACACTTCATAATATTTTAGCTTATATCAGCATTTAATTTTATCCCGTTGATCGTAAAATAATAATATTTTTCTCTAGCACTGAACTCTAAAAGCTAAATCATTAAATGTCTATTTACTAAATATATCCATATCAGCATAGATAACATAGCTAAAGGTGTTAGATACTTATTTTCTTGTATTGATTCAATCGTAAAATTAAATTATTTAAAATAAATGTAAATCGTCAATATCAATGACCTTTTTTCATTTTTGATTTTATTACTATGACCCGTTAAATTTTAAAGCTCTAATAATTTGCCCTCTGGTTACTTTGAGTTACCCATCCCAGGTATATAGTACTTATTTATTAGTATAATATTTAAAAATAAATTGTGTTATGGTATTCACATAGGTATTAGGAACGTGTCACCCTATTCCCCTAATGGTTGCATTTAAACTTTACTGAATATTAGTTTATTACAAATCATAATGTTATACTGCTTATGAAAAGTAAGAATACCTATTTAATTTTTTTTTGTTTTTCGAAAAAATGAAAGTATTTATTTTAATTAATATTTATAGAATTGTTAACAATCTTTGTTCCGTGCATATTTGAATATTTATAAATATTTTTTAATACTATACATCATTCTTTTCGCATAAAATTATATAACTTTATGTGTTATGGATGGTATGTAATATGTAATATTGTATGAAGTTTAAATTACTATTATGTTGGTGTAATGAATGCATAGCATCCAAAGTAGTAATTTTTGTTAGAAATTATTTTATAATATGTTGATTGTAAGATGTAAAATTATGAAAGTATTTAAATAAAAATGCGCGAGTTAGAATGTGGAGGAGCTTCCCTTAGATTTTAATAATTTATTTATTAGTTAATTAAATACACAATGGGATTTAAGTTTACAGTAAACAACAATACAGTTTAAAAAAAAAGTAAGTTAATAATGTTGCATTGTTATAAATATTCAAAATTTCAATTCAGTAATAGAATCATAATTTATAAGTAATTTATATCATGGATGCAGGTAAACAATAAATTGAACACTCATTTATATTACTTAAGAGTCAAATGTGAAAATAAAAATAAAATTAAAACTCGAAATTTGAAGGAGAATAATAATTAATAATAATAATTTAGAAGAATGAACACTAAGTAAAATTTAATTAACATCTCAATTATCTCAATTTAGAATGAAATTTTTTAAATTTAATTATGTTTAATATTTAATTAAAAAATAAAAAATGTAAAATACTTATTGCCTTTTTCATACTTAATATTAAATATATTGGTTTTAATAACTTGAAAATCGTTCTGTTAGACATGAAATGTACCATACTTTTTATTGTTGATGTGAAATAGATCTTTGATATTTGGCCCTGGCTCAGAAATTATTTTACCGCGCCACTGTGCGTATTCGTCTGCTTAATGTCCGCAAAGAAATAAGCTTTTTACAGAAACTGTAAATCATTTACTTCGACGTAGTTACAAATTAAAAGTATATTGTTCTAAAAATTTTAGATTTACTCATCCAGAAACGAAAAAAGTGGCATACATGGATTTGCTCAAGTATTTAAACTATACCATTGGTCCAACTTCCGAATCACAAGGTTTGGCAAAGGTGATACGGAACAGTGCATTGTTAAATAATTTTCTGAAATAAATAATTATTGTTTGGGTATCAATATTTTTTTTTATTTATTATTTTTAGGACGTATTGTACAGGAAACCAAATGAAGTCTATGTCAGAGTTGACGAGTTCGTCAACGATTTACGTAAATTATTGTAATACACGTCGCAGCTCTCCCACTCCACGCGTAATTGGTTTCCAATATTGTTCGGATACCCGGCACGCTGATGACGCGTCAAACTGGTTCGTTTGGCAACCACTCGGACATGTGTTGCTGCGACAAACGACGTGCACTCAAGGGCGTCACGGATGTATAGTGTGCAGTGTGCTCTGTTACCAGTAAGAGTTGTGCTACTGCGAGTTGTTCGTCTTATACGTGTCCCAATGAGTCAGCGTGACGTTCATATTTTTAGTGACTGTGTTTTATTGTATTTATGTTAATGATTGTGATTTATTTTGTAGCGTGTAAAAAATAATATTTTAAATTTTGTCGATTAAATCAGTTTTAACGTATTTCGTCGATCAGTACGACATTTTATAAGTTACGGAAAATTCGATTGTACGTGGATGATTTAAATTCGAAACTCTTTGAACTCATCACGCGGAAACAAGGTATTTTTCATTAACGATTTCGCGTTAAATTTTATGCAACATTAATGCGATTAACTTAATTATTTTAAGAAAATACATTTTACACTTTTAAATAATGTCTTATAATTATCAATACGTTTATTTTAAAATAAATATGCACTATGTCTATACTTGTTTTATTATTATTTTATGCTTTCCATCATGAATTACTTGAGAAACGTTGGTTCATAATTTATTTTTAAATGTATACTTCCGTGGTATAATTGAAAAAGTTTTGTTTTATTTTTCAACACCTACCTAGGTAAACAAAATGTAAACAACAGCTCGGTCAATTATCTTAGAGAAAAAAAAGTTTTATTGAATAAATAAATAATAACTGCATGCTATATAGTGAATACAGTTCGTAGCATAGGTAGATGAAAAAATAATTTCTTAATATGTCATAAAAGATAATAGATATTTATTATGAAATATGTGAACAGGTATTTTAAACAGTACTATTGGTAACTACTTATATAACGTTAACTATTGTGACGTATGTACTTCAAAACTGAATTATTTGCAAAATAATTATAGCTTTAATACATACATTTTCTTTAAGCGTTTATTTGCAACACATTAATGAGTTTTGTTAAAACAATGTTATAATATAATCATATTATTATACAAGTATTAATTTTATTGAGTTAATGAAGTTCAAAGTATTGTGTATTTGTACTTCTCTTTTTGATAAAAAATATTCATGAATGTATTTCACGTGCGTAAAAAAAAAAACATGGTTAACATTTTAAGTACCCAGTTTGAAAGCTGATGGGAAAAGGTATTATGTAATTTATTATTTTATTATATTCGATTTGACGATTGTATCAGGTGTCATTCTTGTGCTATCTGTGTCTAAATATAATCTAATACAAGTAATTTATAGGACCATGGGTTGTAAGTTTTAATGATTCGTGTTATCAATAATATTGAGTAGATCAGATCACGCCTATCACGGTAATAAACTGCCGTCTGTTATTCTTTATTAATTTCATCAACTTGGAAACTTTCAGGAACATAAAATTAAAATCACATGTTTATTTTATTTTTGGTGCGAAGGGGGGGGGGATAGAAGATATTAATTTATTATTATTATGGGTCGGAATTCGTAGCAATAAAACATTAATGTATTCTTATTTTTGTACACCCTTGAACATTTTAATATAAAGAATTATATATAATAAAAATTACCCAAAACATGCATATTTAAAAATGTATTAATACAATATAACTTTCTTAATTTATTCATAATATTAATTTTACGTATATAAGTAATAAATTATAGATTTGAAAATATTGGATGATTGGAATAAAAATTATGAAGTTCATTCTTTTTAGCAGAGTTCATCATTATCTAATATTAAATAATTGATAATCGTGTTGAGCAGCAATATAAATTTGGCCAAAACTGAAAATAAAATATAATTTTATTATTGGCACTAAATTATTAAAATATTCAAAATAAAATTCAGAAAAACATATACACCAAGAATACTTAAAACTATTAAAATTTGGGTTTCCAATATGCGAAAATGTGAAATATTCATAATTTAAATATATTTGTTTGAGTTTTTGGTAAACAAATAAATGCAATAAATTTTGACTCTTATTATATTGTAATTATAAAGGTGTCTTAAAATTTTTTTAATTAATTACATTGGTCAACTAATGGTAACTAAAAAATGCAATAAGATTGGGATGGGTATAACTCATAGACGCAATAGAGTTTTATTTTTGGGAGGCTAAATTTTTTTTTTTTTGCATCACTGGTAAAAATAAAACTTACTTTTTAATTTATATTTGTACCTATTATGCGGAGGATAAATATATATTTGGAAGGGTTAGACAAATATTTAGAGATCTAAGACCCTCTATTTCTTATTTTATTTTGCCTGTGACACAACTAATAAAACTTGTGTGTTACTGTTCATTATACTATCTTAGTGCAGATTCTTGTTCGATAATTACTATTCGATAATATCTACATAATATTATGAATTTATTTCAAAGGGCTGGTTTTTAATTTGTACATTTTTGCTAATAAATAATGTATTTGGGCGATTGGAAAATTATGGGCTAATTCGGGCTACAAATATCCGATATCTAGTACTGAATGTTTAATATATTTTATTATATTTTAATATTATTGATGCAAATATTACATATTTAACACAATTGTTTAAATTATAAAATTCAATTAATACATAACTGGATTTTTTTTATTTTTCATAATTAAAGTATTTTACATGGACTTTATTTTAAAAAAAAATATTAATATCATATTTGTTATGAGTATTACATTTATAATTTGTCAACAATACTTTATTAAAAAATAAAAGACGATTGAACTACCGAAACTAAATTAATTACTCCTATATTTATGAACATTGTTAATTATGATATTTATTTAAATATTTCTTAAAAACATTTTTTGAATTTCCCTCAGTTTTGAAGCAATATAAGTTAAGTATACAGTACTTCAGCATATCTTGGACAAGATTAAAAAAATAATGTATCCCATTTTTTCGCTTTCATACAATACAATTATAAATTTGACTTCTCAAGTACCTCTATGTTGATTCTTTTTAGAAATAGTATGAAATGTTTACAATTTTAAATAAAAAATTAGTTTGGGTCTAAGGTTATTATATTTTTATTTTATGCAAATAATTGTTTTTGATACATTTGAATGGAAAATAACGTGTAAAAATGTAATTAAAATATTTTTTTTTTATTTAAATTATTGCATTTTTACAAATAAGAATTATTTGAACTGCAAAAAGTTTGTTAATTAAAAATTGTGTTTATTTTAAGTTTTTATGAAGTAAAAAAAAAAATGTTTGTTCCGTTGACATGAGATTTAATGATTTTTTTGTTATTAAAATTTACGATTATAGTAATAATAAAAACATATTTAAGGTAGTATTTTAATTCTTAAGTTTTTGTAAAAATATTTTTCTCGTCAATTTTAGTTTTATAATTTTTTATCATCAAATGTTTACTTTTACATAAATATTCAGTGAAGTAAAATATATATGTAGACGGCTGGTACCGAATTGGTTCCAATACTCCAAACCCATATGCCGAATTGGTTCCCGTCTAAAAAAGGTATTTCATTAGGTATAGCCGAATTGGTTCCCGTTTAATTACGCACATTTTCCTTCTTAATTTTACAGGCTTAGGACTATCAACTTTAAAGTAGGCTTGGTTAAAAATGTGCGTTAATGTGTGATAAAAAAAAAAAATGATAAAATATCTACAATTTTAAATCGTTGATTTGGAAGTCTACTTGTGATCGCTTTAAATACAAATAATAAAATATAATAAATACAATTGAAAACAATTGGTTTGTAAATTTGAATCTAACTTTCTTTAAATATTCAATTCTTGTAATCTTTTTATTAATGTCATCAGTCATATAATTTTCCAAATCCAGTAATCCATTGTGTATTATATTTCTATACTTTATCTTATCGATATATGATAATATATATTTAAAGCTTTTAAAATTTTGTTTTTCTCCTCTATGCACTGACCTGCTGAATTTTAATTTTTAATAACGTATGCAAATTGTGTTAAAAATTAAAATTTTCAATATTTTCCCTGTAAATAAACGAGAACCAGTTCGGCTATACTTAATAAAATACCTTTTTCAAACGGGAACCAATTCGGTTATACATAATGAAATACCTTTTTCAAACAGGAACCAATTCGGCTACTCCCATATAAACTATAAAGTATAGTTTAATAAAAGATAATTAAATAGATTAAACAAAATATTAAATAAACTGATAACTTATTCTTATAGGTAAATAGTAAAATTGTATTATTATTGTATTGGTAACTATTTTTAGTAAATTACATGAGTTAATGTTATTATTTTTGAATTATTTTTTTATAATTTAGTATCTTATTAAGTTTTAAATTAATATAATAAGTTAACACATATATTTATATGGTTAATTTTAGATGTATTTCATATTACATAAGAACTGCAATGTAATTACATTTTTCCATTTGATTATTTTATCTTAATAACGATAATTTCTTTAAATATTCATACAGTATTATTTATTTATTACTTTGAGTGTAATAATAATTATTAAACCTAAATAGTTATTATTTTAATAAAGTAATTAATGTACAATTATGTTATAAACTTATTTAGAAGATTTATACAATTTTTTTTTTTTATCTAAACCTACGATTTATGATTATATATTTTCAATAAACTATTTTATTAAATTTTAACAAACTTAGTAACCCAATATTTAAAAGCACATGTGTAATATATGTATTAGGAATGATGTTTATTGGTAAAATATTAAAATTATTGAATAATTTTTGATATAAAATATTCTGATGTTATTTGACGATTTTTTATTTTTAAATAATAAAATAACAAAATAATGAGAAACTTAAAATCTAGAATCTTTATACTTTATTGCTGATCGTTTGCGGACTAGTTTGGATGAATGATCTTTGATAATAACAAATATGTATCGTTTTGAGTGAAATGTCAATGTACCTATAGCTTGGGCATGAGATTATTGCATAATCATTTATCTAAGTTTATGTAAAAACTCACACACAGCAATTATTACGTATTCCTTTTTTGTTCGCCTTATACATTGAAAAATGTAAATATTTCAGAATTTTGAAAAATTAATCAGTATTTTTAAGTATCTTAAGAATAATATTTAAATGTAAGGCATAGTTGCATTCTTAAAATATAGAGAAATTAAATTCATGAATCAATGTTGCAGATTGTAGTATAGGCACATAATACAATTATAGTGTTCCAGAGTCATTTTAAAATTTACTCAGAGGATTTTTATTATTGATCTAAGTTTTATTTAATATGAATATTTTATAGTAAAATATGCCCGCATGTATTAGATTTCAGTTTTCTGAGTTGAATCGTGTTTTTTTTTTGTAATTATCTCTTATAGATACATTTGCTTACTTATAAGTAAAGAAATCGATTTTAATTTTATGACGACCTTATACATGTCAATGCTGTTCAAAATATGTATAAAAGTTATAGATGTATAATTCTCAATTAGAATAACTTTACTTGGTTACAGTTCTAATAATTTAGTTATATAGTTAAAATATAGTTATATTAAAAAAAAAATATATATCTGTATATATTATTGAGTTCAATGGTTATATTTTTGATTCGTAAGATTTAGAATTTTGTCAAAACTAAATATTATCAATTTATTAGTATAAATTATAAATATGGACTTGAGTTTACAATAATTTATATAATCATTAAGATTATGTATTATGTGTAATTTATAATCAACAATTTTCCCGTGGTTGAAGATATAATATAAATACATTCTTGAAATGGTTTTCTAATAACTGCATGAGTCATAATGAAATATTGTTCATATTATGACAATGTTTGGTGACTGCATTTATTTAATGATTTTTTTTAAAACAGCCATTACAGTTCGACGTTATAAGCTTTAAATAATGTTTATCTATGAATTTAATATAATATGTTATTCAATTTTAATAAAAATAATAACAAGATTTAAATTTATAAATTTTTAACAGTGTTGTATGATACAATATAATAAACAATTAGGTTGTTAAGACGTTTTTAGTATTTCACGTACAAGTAACCAGATTTAAAAATTGTTAACGTCGGCAATTAATAAATAAATAATGTAACATCTGTTTATAATTTGGGTTTGTGAAAGTAACTTGTAATTATTATAATATTGTTAACGTTTACCGAGTTGGTACTTAAATTAATGAACACATGAAATATTTTTTTTTTCGATTAGGAATATTATTCAAGCATTCCTTCCTTAATGAATTGTAGATCAATCTATTGTTGGTCACGTATTAATATATCATAAATTTACTATTAGAGATTCTTATTTGTATTAAGTTTTATCGTTTCACTATAAGTCTTTGTGAATATGAAATCAATATGGTAAATCGTAGTTTTGTTAATTCCTTGTAATAATTTAGGTTAGAATCATTTGCACCATTATTTTGAGAAGCTAATTTTTAATAACAACGTTGATAGTAAAACCGGTTATATTCGTTTTATAATATAATAATAATTGCTATTGCCCCAAATAGTGTTAGCCATTCGAGTTTCATAGCCTTGCGTATTTTTAAATGATATCTCCAAAGAATAATAATTGTTACATCCGTATTGAATTGCTACTCATTCATAAGTACTCAATTATATAAAATATGATAGATGTTTATTTTTCAGTGCACGCATACTGAAAAATCAATTTTCGTACAATATTTATTAACATATAACGTATTTTATTTTTTGTATAGTTTTTACGCGGGTCATATACATTAACAGATGAATATAATATGAAAAACTATTCGAAAACTTCTTGAATACCAATTTATAATATATCTACGTTATTGTAATATTTTTTCCCTTTAAAGTTGGAACACATGCAATTGATTTATTATCGTTAAGTTTTATTGTAATTTTATTCAGTTTGAATCATGTTATGAAAATATTACTTTTGTATGTTATTATCTATTCTTCAACACGTATATTATGGAATAACTGAAGTTGTTGGTTCGAAAAATGAATCGAGTGGGATGACGTGGATCGTACAGACATTATAATATAATTTTCCGTTGGTGTTTTTATTCTTATAGGTTTATATTGTCTTTTCGTCGTTACTGTATGGATACACGAAACAAGTCGTAAACCATCCAATCAATGTCATTGTTCTAAAACAATAACAATTGTAGTACCTACATGTGTTGGTGTATGTCATACGTAGCGTAGGTATATTTGTCCTCGGCTTGGTGAATTTTCATTTGACGAAAAAAATTATATATCCTTTCGTCGCGGTGCACGAATCATTTTGCAATTATGTTTTTAAGCTGGGCATTTGTCGTTTACAAACACTACAAACTTTAAATTGTCAAAAAACGAGTTAATTGCGAGATTCGTTGTGCAGAGGCGTTTTTTTTTTTTTTTTAATATTTGGCCTATCGTGTCATGATGACCATTTACTTCATTGATAAAGCCTAATTACTTTTAATTGGTACACTGAAACGAACGTCAGTTATTTTATCTTTGATGACTGAAACAAATTATGTTGACATCATCCTACCTTTGCATCAGTCATCAAATATAACTGTAACGCGATTATGATGCCCGGTGGTTCTAAAATTTCGAAAATTGTTGTAAATTATACGGCTTGAGTGTTCTTTTTTTCCAAATCCTTTGAGTTCCGATTTTTATTCTCCAGTTACAAATATTTAAATACAAATAAAAAATAATCATAGAACTTGTATAAACTGAATGTATGTACTCTTATATATAATCGAGTTACTATTTAGTTTTTAGTTAGAGTTATCTATTTTAGTTATTTTATTATTTTCGTCTTAGATTTTTAAAATAATTATTGATATGCGTTACTGCATCATAATAATTATTGTTAACAGGATATTCATTATGGTTTTTATTGTTTTTATTCAATAATTAAATAAGTATGTTTATTTATTTTATTTATGCTCCAAATTATTAATCAATTCTAGATAATGATGAATACGTAATGATAATGATGTATATAGACTGAACATTGATATATACTCTTGTTATTTCCTGTTAGATGTTCAGGACTAGTGTGATTTATTGTAAAACGAATAAATACATTTTATTAGAATATTATTTTTATCAACATGAACCATTTGTGATAGGCAGTAATTTTGTTCATGTTAAATTACAGATAAATGTTATTTTTTTGTTGCAATAACAGAAATCGAATATTATATACTTTCATAATTCAAAATCAATTATTTTTTACTCCTTTTAGTTGTACCTAATATTATAATTTATAATATTCAATACACTTTTTACATTTAGTATGTATATTAATTAATCACTAATTAATACATAATTTCAGGGTTAATGGGTAATTGTGATCAAATGGTTTTTAATTATTTTCTAATCACTTTGACCTGGGTATGGGCATTTTTGGTGCACACAAGAAAGATTATGTTCGACTTAAATTTCTTTACAGTGAGTTATATTAACGAATACAATATTTTCTTTTACTATGGTGATAATATTTCAATATTATTATGATTCGAACTATCATAACAATGTTTACCGTTTAGAGTCCTATATATTGTAAGTGGCAGAGACCGCTCGCGTTATAATGACCTAATATTTGTTAGTATTCATGACATGTACTATACTACTATCTCACCTGTATTGTGATGAAATGTACTGGGTAGTGATAAATATTGATCATAGGCCTATTTCCTGTGTGTGTGCGTATGTGTATGTGTACACGTGTGCTCACGTGCGTATGAGTATATGTAAATAATCTATATGAAGTAGGCATATTTAATAGGACACTTCCTAGCCTTTAATCAAGTAAGTAATACACCATACTTGAATGTTAAAGAACACTTTATATTTACATTTATTTTTATTCACTTTTATCAAGCGTGTACCTCCGTAACTTTTAACGTTAGAATTGTCGTTTGTAATAAAAAATTAACCTAACAGTCGTGAGATTTATTTTGAATTACTTATTTTTATCTTACCACTGTATAGAGCTATAGTATACATAGTAGTACGACTGTACACGAACATACGGCGGGAACGTGAGAGCTCTTAGTGTATTCACGTGTTGCACATGTAACAAGATCATAACCGGAAACAAGGCGAGGGTATAAATAATAGAAATCCTTTTCCTGTGTGATCTGAGACAGCTGTAGACCCACCCTTATTATATGCTCATATTGATCTAGATTTTAATAGCGATCGTCTTCCTCTTATTTTTTTCTATAACTCATGCTCAAACATCCGTCACATATATATATATATATATGACCAAATGTTTCTAATGCGCACAATTTGCAGGTGTAACCATGGACGGTTGAGTTGAAGATAAAGATTCTATTAAATACGTTGCAGGATGAGCAGTAAAATAAGACGGTTGAAAATTACCGCAGTTGGAGATGGAATGGTCGGAAAAACTTGCATGCTTATTACTTACACAGCGAAGGAATTTCCTACAGAATATGTGCCAACCGTGTAAGTGATAATTTAATTGTACATTTTATTAGAATATATACATAGGTAAATATAAATAATATAGTAATATTATAATTAAGTAAAATAAAAAAAACACATGTACCTATATGATGAGTATGAATTTTTTACCGATTGCAAATGTTACTATTATTTTATTTACTAGCTATAATTTTCCAAAAACGTTGCCTTTTTTTGTGTTATTTATAGATATTTTAAATTTTTAAAATGTCGTTAAAATAATTTTAGTTCAACTAAACATCCTAAACATTTAATACTAAGTTCCTAATAAAATTTTCTTACTTGTGTAATAAAATGTTGAATAGCCGATATTAGCAATTTTTTTATAAGCATTTGAATATTAAATTTAGTAAACATTTGACAAAAATTACAAAATTCTGTGATATTTTTATAGTTGAGAAATCATAACATTTAATTTGGAGCTTAGAGATTTGAAAATTCTACATAAGATTCTTGAAAAATTGTGTACTGTATCTGTAACTAAAAAAATAAAAATAAACTAATATACCGAAGTCATAAAAAAAAAATTATATAAGCATTAGAATCGTTTTTCTAAACCAATGTGGTACCTAACCTATATTAATATCATGTGTATAAGCGTTCTTACACGATTAACTTATATTAGTCTCCTGATCCCAGTATCTCGACTTTTATTATCTTTAGTTTATGCATACTATACATACAGTTTAGATTTTAAGCTCATCTGCAGTTTATATGTACATCATGATTTTTAAGATTTCTATAGTTACTGCCTACTCAAATACAAAACTCAATGAATTAGTAAATTTTACGATGTATTATTTGCTTATACTATTATTAGTTTTAATTCATTTCTTTATAGTATAGTATTAAAAATGTTTTATTTAACGTAGATAAATATAAAAGATACAATGATTCAAGGTTAGATGATTTGGTTCTTTTTCTCGACTATACTTACTTACTTTTATATGTAGGTTAATATTAAAAAGAATCTTTATTAAAAATTTTGCAATAAACAATTATCATACATAGAATAAATAATTATATCTATTATTATATTACATAAATAAAATTAAAATATAGAGAAAGTACCTATGTCATAAATTACTTTTTTTTTGTGTCTTACCATCAGGTCTTTTTTAACTAAATGAATGCTAAAACTAATTCAAATTGAAATAAAATTATTATTATACTTATTATACAAGTATTTTATAGTATTCAAATTGTGTTAAAACAATGAACTTAAATTTGCAAAATGTATATGTATTATATTATGCGTTAAAAATATGTGAATTTCACATTATTTGTTTCCAATGTCAAATTTTCTACAATTTTCAAATGTTTACAGCTTAAAAGTACAAAAAAAAAAATTAATTATGATTATTAAAATGTACTTTAATAACATGTTAAATATATAGAAAATATATAAATTTTAATTTTCTATGTATACAATTTTTGTGTTTACTATTATATTTTTTTTTTAATGAGGAACTTTGTCCATAGTAGATATATATATTTTTAAACAATAACATTTTGTTTGCTGATCCGTGATATTATTAGATTATAAATTATACATATAAATAAATATTAATTTATGTTTTCGAATACCCATAACCATATCGTTGTTAGAATTTAAGAATTTAAGTGTACTGAAAAACATGTGTTCGTCGTTTATAATGACTATAAATATTTTTAATATGTTTAAAGATTCGATAATTTTGCGGTTAACATCATGTTGGAAGGACAAGAGTACAACATGTGTTTATGGGATACCGCGGGCCAAGAAGATTACGAAAGACTAAGACCATTGTCTTATCCTCATGTGAGTGATATTTTAGTTTTGGAATACAAGAATCAAATTGAAAACACATATATTTAGAATTTTTTTTTGTGATTCCTCATATTTCATAAAATTTTAAAATAACTACTCATAATGTATTTTTTTTTTAAATTTTCTAAGGTTTCATTCTTTTACACATGCCATAAATATTAAAATTATAACATCGAAATAGTTATTTAAATATTTTTGATTTAATTTATTTTAGAAGTACTTAAATAGTTTAAGATAATACATTAACGTCATAATATATATAGTATATCAATTTATGTTTAATATTAAATTACAGACGGATTGTTTTCTACTCTGCTTTTCAGTCAATAGCCGAAGTTCATTCGAAAACATTGCCATTAAATGGTATCCGGAAATTCAACACCACTGCCCGAAAGTACCTGTGATATTGATCGGTAAGACTTGATGATGAATTTTGCACTATATATGAGAGCTAACAGTGGAATTTACAATCAAATATTTTTATTTATTTAATTTCTAAAAATAATGCAATTTTTTAAATGTTTATTATAGAAATATAAAATACGCCGATGTTTGTATAATTTACTACTGTAGGTATAAGAAATAGGCATTTGTCAAGAAGTCATTGTAAAAAAAAATATTCGATCCAATGAGTATAAAAACCTAATAAAAATATTAAAGTTCTTATAATTCATATTATTTTAGGATCAATAAACGTTTGAAATAATATTTAAAATTGCAGAGTACATAAAACATCTCTTTTGGTTTTTATATAAAAATAATTTGATTCATTGTCATCAGTACTAAATAACTGTAGAAAAATAAACATCCAGATTAATAATAGTATATGTATAATATTTTTTAAAATATATTGTAGATATTATTAATAGAAGTAGTAAATACCCGTAATACCTACTTTATTCTTTAATGATGTTTCGAAATATTAAATACATTTAATAAAAATGAAAAGTTAAGACTATTTACTACCGGTATAATATAAAATAATTGATTGAATAAATTTATTAAAAAATATATTAACTTTATTGTTTTTATACGGAAATGGATTAAGATACCTAAGTCAAAGTTTTCTTTTGAGGGTTTATTTTAAAGTTTTTCCAAAAATTAGAAGAGAGGGTCTTCTAAAATAATCTACACAAAATAAGGATGACAATATACTTAAATTGTTTTTACTCGTGTTTTATGTTGTCTTTTAATTTACTTTATTTGATAATTATTTTGTTATAGTTGATTCTAATCAATCATATGACTGATGTACATTTTTGGAAAATTATGAATATATTTTAGTTAATTATTACTCATGTCAATTTTAGGTACAAAATCCGACTTAAGACAGAGTCAAAACGATTGCATAACAAGAAAAGAGGCCAAGAAAATGAAAAGCAAGATCAAGGCTGTTAAATATCTTGAGTGTTCAGCAATGTCTTACGAAGGTTTGGACTCCGTATTCATGGAAGCTCTTCGCGCAAGTATTACTAAACCAAAAAAAAATTGTTTCACGTGGCCGTTTCCGTTATGTAAATAGACTTTTTTTTTTTTTTATAAAATCAAAATAAAATAAAAATATCTCTGCATAATAATGTGCATAAGCATTTGCAATGTTTTATTTTAGTTAACCCGATAAGTGTTAATCGTTAAAGCGTATAATAATAAAAATAATAATAAATGTTGTGTTTCATTATTAATTATTGAAACATAAATTATGTGCCATCATAGATTTAATACTATTATATTTATATAAATTAATACTACGTTATTAGAGTATAGTATTATAGTATACAATGACTTCGTCGATATGACGATCGAGTTTGTTTATATAAACGGTTATTATCAGCTTGTAAATACAGATAAATATTTTTATATTGTTTTTTTTTTTTTTGCAAAATGTAAAGATGTATTATTAACTTTTTTATTATTATTATTTTTGTCATTTATATATCACTGTGTGACAAAAATTCGATTATTATGTGAGTTAGTTTTTACCAAATATTGTCATTACATAATTTATAAAAGATACCGTTGCTTGCATAGAATTTTAATTATTGAAAATATTTTGTGAACATTTTACGACGTGAAAATTCCGTTTCGAAGAGTTTTCGCTGTGGAATTCATCCTAACTACTACTAATTATGAAAACGATTGTTATTTCAATACTTATATCAGTTAAATAAATATAAACACGTAAAAAATAATTTATCAAGGGGATGATGCATAATAGCATATGCATCCTTCTATGTACTTGAATAGTCGAGTGTGGTTAATTTTATTTACTCCACTGACAAAGTGACCCGATTATGAATACAAAATTATTTTTAATTTGTAAACATGAAACTGGCGGTAACACTGTTAAAAATATAACAGAGGTACAAATAAACCGGTATACCATCTCTTGACAACCATCCCGTGACTACGAAGCTGAATTTAGATACTGAAGCAGCCGGCAGAATCAGAAATAGAGATATCTGATTGGAAATTGGGACTAGTTGGTATTTAAATTATTAGTTTTTAGAATTTCTTAACATTTTTCTAAGTAATTGTGAAAAACCGATAACAACTTTCTAAATACGAGTACTTCGATCGAGATCGTGTTCCGAATCCCGATTTATCTAATTTTTTGTTATGCAATATTTCTTAGACTAAATTTAATACTTACTATAGCGTTTCATAATTATCGAACTATTTTAATAAATTTGGTTCTACTACTGTATATTTTATATTCCTAGATAATTGATGTATATCATATTTATGAATTTAAACTATCCTGTCCGATCTTTTTCAAGAAAAATGGTACATTGGTTCAAGTTTAAAAGGCTAATAAAACAATATAATTTACTCGGCCCAGTGTCTCTTCGACTGTTTTAATGTATTCATATCAAAATAGATTTAATTTTTTACATTCATATAGTGTAAAAGAAGTAAGAGCAAAATAATCGTTTTATCTATCGTTTAAATTACGTTTTTCGCATGGTTATTAAAATAATAATGCTCATATTATTGAATTGCTGTAAAAATGAGGAAACGAATAAGTAAATAATATTATTTACTCGGTGCCAATATATTGTAAGTAATTGTATTTAATTAGAATACTTAGATGCTTTGAATTTAGTTTTAAATAACGAAGAATAGAAATAAGACCAAAATCAGACCTTTGGAAGCAATAAAAATAAATATGTGAATGTGAATACCTACATCTTAGTTATTTATTTATTTTATTTATTTAATGTTAACAGGCTAAGCCTTTTTTTTTACAAGAATGCATTTGTATATGTATTATTAGATTTATATGGCGGCTATCTGTTTTGGTAGTCAATATTATAATTTATAACAATTATTTCATAATTTAGTCACAGTGGTAAACATTGGTTTCATGTATGCAATCGAAAAACACATTAGAATTATTTCGACGCGTCCTATACATAAATATATATTTGGAAAACTTCTTTGATTTTCTTGCGATTCTTTTACATATATGTAAAAATATGGTGAAAATCCAGAAAATAATAGTAATATTAAATATTATTAAATTTACGGTTAAAGGGCATACCTTATATTACTCGTATAAACACAAACATTTTGTAAGGCATATTTTACACGATAATGGCTCAGCGTGTGTACACACATTCCTTGTATTGTTATTGAAAAACACTATTACTACTAATTAATAATCACTCTAACCACATTCTAATTAATAATTAAATTACAACGAAAACTTTGATGTACGTTCAATGTTGGATATTAGTTTCTGTACCAAGAGTTTAAATCAAAACAGTTCTAATAGAAACGAATCAATCCATTTTTTGTTCTGCCCTTAGCCTAACCTGTAATTACTTACACAATGGTGTATATCTTTGATTGACTACACTACTTTGTACAAAACTGTAGGTACAAACATTATCTTTTTATATTATGTATCAATTGTTTATTTGTTTTTCAATAGAAAATTTTGAATATGCATACATGTTATACATGTATATTGTAGTTATGTGCAATGTAAGTATAACATATCTGTAAGAAATGGGCACATATTTTAGAGGTAACATAGGAGCAATTCCTCCCAAGACCATATCTTTGTAATCAGAGGTAAATTTATGGGAAGGGATATGGCATTTTCCCACTTGAGCTTTTTTTTTTTTATTATTATAGATTTATTTAATATTTTTGTTACAGGTATAAAGTCATAGAAATATAAAAGTAATATGAGTAATACTATTTATATTAGTCCCTCCTCCAAAAAAAAGCTTAAGATCCACCACTGGTTGTGACTACAAATTAATATATTCAAAATTTGCCACGTTATTATATATTATTTAAGCCTCAATAATTTTGACGAAAAGTAATTCCCCCTCTGACAAAAATAAACATATATTTATGTGTCTGGTACGTATAATGTATTACTTATCCGATAATTTCGGGAAAAAAAGAATGTCATTTACCTTACGTAAGTGTTAAAAAATTGAAATTTATGATACTGTACTATATAAGAATTAGGGAACGGATTTAAATTTAGTAAAAAATTAAAAATATTTAAATATATATTTGTTTATTACTTCACGTATATTTATTTATAATATTGAAATTTTAAAATTGAAAATAAGATATAATTCACTATAATTTATAAACAATACATAATACAAAAATAAAAATGTTTATTCTGAATCATCCGAAAATTCTTCATGGGAGAAACAATTAGAAACGATATACGAGTATAATTTGAGATGTTCAAATTTTAAATTGTCTCCATCTATTTTGAATTACGTGTTTTATCTTATATACTTACTGGTAAAATAATTGTAGCAATTATTTTCTTTTTTAAGTATAATGTGAAATTTTCAACAAAACCATTTCGAATAAAAATTAGTTATTTCATTAAAATTCAGAAATAATAGTACTTACAATTTTTTTAATTATGACTAAGTATTTTTGAAGAATTGAAAAATTACTGATTACAATATTTTTTTAACGAGCGTATTAAGAATGAATTCTAGAATCCTAGTCGACTGAGATTTACTTGATAAACAGTAGATCAGTTTAAATTATATTACACCTGGATAAGTTATTCCATTTATAACTCACTTAAATGCCAATATTTGAAATTATTCAAATACTTTCGGAGCATTTAAAATGTTTATCAAATACTTTATTGTTATAATGTTCGAATTATATTTAAACTATGTATAAACAGTGCACGTAATATTTGCTAATATTTATGTCTATTTAATTTTTTTTTTATATAGATTTTAAAATGTTCATAAGCTCAATACGTATACATTTATGTCTTTAAATGATTTTGCTTTAACTGATATTACTAATATTACTGATGATTCATAGCATATTATGTTCAAAGCATATTATTAATTTAACAAAATATGTAATTCACTCGCATTAAAAAGAATAAATGAATAAATAAGTTGTAAAGATTAACATGTGAGTGGAAATAATACATAGCTTTATTTAAAAAATACGTTCTTTGAATGTTTCTTAAAAGCTATAGGCCAAATGTAATAGGAATATTTGAGAATTTATAATTTTCATAATCATTGTATTACTTATAAACATCTCTTGATCATTTAAACGTAAAATTGAATTGTAATATTTTGTGATTCACAAAGAATAAAGTATATTTGATTTGCGTTAAGCATTTTATTTTTTTTGTCTTCTTAATTTTTTTATGTTGAAAATTGAATTATTGAATTATTGAATACAACGAATTTTTAAGTTTATTTTATAGAATTAGGTAAAGTAAAAATAAAATTCAGTCATCCGACCTAGGCGTAACTAAATCCACTCTAAACTAAAACTTTTGATAGCTTTTCAAATTAGATTTAAAGAATTGTTTACCATTTATTTAACAATTTAATTATGTCGCATTAATACAGCTCTGTACTTTATACTTGGATTTATTAATCTCATTTCACCATTGATTAAACTTAAACGTTTTTGTTACACACAGTTGTAAATTCGCTATTTTTATTACATCATTTTATTATAATATTTTGTTATTTTACCGCGTAAACAATGCCGCAACTACAAAATAGTAGGACCGTGTGCGGTAATTATATTAGGCCTCTTCCTAGGATTTATTTTTGTTGTACGTCTTATTTATAAGTATCAATTTTTTTAGGTTTTAAAACACGTTTCACATCAGTTAGTGTATGATATATGTATATATATATCAAATTAAATATCTACAACTGTTGTATATTATACTTTACTACATATTTACGTAGTAAATTTGTTTAAGTAGTTTAGGTAGATATGCATACTCAAATACTCAATGGACTCATTGTTAAATAAATATTATATTACTCTAAAATATTATAACATCCTTAATATCCTGAATTTTAAAAAAGTTTTTTTTAATTATAAAATAATAATATAATATTATTAAATAATTGCGTATTTTTAATGTGTAGTTTATTTTAGGCTGGAACTAGAGGGCCCCCCAAATGTATGTAAGCCTTGGGGTCCGTATGCGCGGCACACTCTGCACACCCAGTTTTTGCGGCACTGGCGTAAACGTTATATAGTATTTCTAGTTGGGTTTGAAAAATAATTATATACAGTTTACATTTTTGATTGTATATATTTTTTCTTCTTCTTCGGTAAATCGGACTATCCCGACATACAGCTTTGCCTCTAGTTTCCCCTATCCGATGCTTTTGTTCTTCAATCTATACTTCCTCCTAATGTACCACATCTTTCTTTATCACATCTTTCCATTTCAAACGTGGTCTTCTTAGTGGTCTTTCCCAGTAGGATTTTCCTCTAATACTATTGGTATATGTTGATTTTGGTTACGTCTAACATTCCATGCCCACTGTAATCTTTTATTCCTTATTTTTTCCACTATATTTGTTTTTTGGAAGACTATTTATAGTTTATCATTTTGAAGTATATATATCAGGTTTATGAAATATTTGAATTATAATTTTATAACATTTTCTAAAGAAGTTAATGCTTTAAAATTATACATGAAAATTTATTTATAAATATTTTTGTTAGTCGATCAACTTAAACCATTTGAAATGTAATTGAAAATGTTTCCAAGAATAACTTTAGTATTCATTATAGAATTATTTGCCGTTACTTCGCTACAAAGCCAATTATGTTTTTTCTTGGATGGGATATTCTAAGGGGTGTAGAGAATGGAACATTTTAATTAAATATTTTTAGAAACTTTTTCAATGATAGTTTTTTTTATTTGCTGATTGACAATAACAAGGGAAATTATCTTTCATTTAAAAAAAAAAAAAAAAAATATTAAAAATACATAAATAAATATTATTGTGAGCGTTAAAACATAATTTTCCTCATTTCTAAACAAAAAAAAATCACAAGTAAGTGAAGTTAGTCGAACAAATGTTGATTAATATGTTTAAATAAATAATGATGTTTTAATGCAAATATATTGAATTGTGTATTTCGTGTTGTGTAGTTAGTAATAAACCAGTGTACAAAAAATACAATCCTTATCGAATTATTATTTTTATAAATAGAATATAGTACTGTGAAGATATTACGAGATAAAATCAAGGTATAAGTACAGTGAGACCATTAAGATAGCATATAAAAATTATAAATATGACGATAAATTATTTTACTGCCACGTATATTATAATTATAACATGCAAAATGATTTCGTACAACTCTTGTCTAATTGTTTTCATTTTTTCTAGTACATCCAATACTGAATATATAAGTGTTTATAATTATGATATCATCAAGCGGGTTAGCTGTGGTATAGTGCTCTGCATTCGAAGGGTTAAAATACATAAGGACGATGTATTGTGTTACATTACAGAGCATAACAGAGAGTAATCTAATATGGGAGGACCGCTTTTATACATAAGCCATTTTAAAGAGGGGAGGGGTACCGCAAAAAGGATTCACGTGAAGGTAGTCGAAAATGTGAAGGGCAATACGGTACACTACCCGAATTGTTTATAAAATTCGTTGTAGGACCCGTGGGAGAAGAGGAGGGGTATTTAATTAGCACACAAAAAGCATTTCGCATGCGGTATTTCAGAAAATGATTACTCAGCGAGTTTAAAAAATAACGAAACAAAAGTTCCATAATGAACAAAAATACGAATAGTTGATTGATAGTAATACATATTTATTGTGAATATTATTTAAAGTAAGTACCTTAAAACTTAACCTATACACATACCTACTGTACCTACCCTTTTTCATTTTAATGTTTTAAATGGAACTTTTAACCCATTTATAGAGACATTCTAATTTCTTCAAATTATTGATAGTGTTTTATTTTAATTTTTAAATATTTTATAATGCACAATATTATAATACATCGTTGTTATTTAAACAAAATACCTACATAAATAATAATTTTATAGAATTCATATATATTTTCTCTAAAAAATATTCATATAAGTACTTAATATAATGAGTATCAATAAATTCATATTTTATTCAATATTCAAATGAATAACATACTACTATTTTGTATTAAAATGAACGATAAAAGACAAATTTTAAAGAATTCACTAACGGATCCATAATTTTTTTTCTGTTGTAAATTTTTAATAAAATATTATTTTATAATTGTACTGTTGTTGTTTTCACTGAGAATCATTACAAGGGTTTTTTATTTTAATTACCACTTTTAAGTAAAATACTGTATGGGTATCTTTTATGAGTATCTTTTGTAATATTTAGTTTTTAATTGTTAACTATTTTAATTATAACATTTAGATACAACTGTCTACAACGTTTCTTTTGGATGAAGTAATTTTTTTTATATTGTATCGTTATTTATTATTAATTTAAAATTATTATTTAATAATATGATCAAAAGTTTTGAATACATATTGAGTTGTTTAATAAAGTATTAATTAATAAAAACTTTCGAGAAACAAAAGAAAATTAATTTTTAATTAATTTGTTAGCGCGTAATTTAAAGCTTTATAATATTTCATGATGATTGAAAATCATTCATTTTGTATATTTCATAGCAAATAATATGTGTTATTTTTTAAGTTTTGTAATAATAATAAAACTAGATTTTAATTAAACAATGTTTTTATATTTAAATAATCTAAGTCAAGTACTTCTCAATATATTTTTTTATGGCATTTTTGAATTACAAATATGTTAATTTAATAATGATTTTAACTGATATGCTTTGAAAGCTACATTAATAAATCCACGCAGTTAAAAAGCAATTTTAAATAAATACTGTCCTTAGATCAGCGTACAGCAAGATCAATATTTATGTATACTTATTTGTAATATGTTATTTAAAAATTGTTTTACAATTTTTAATGTACTTTCTCCATTTGGCAGTTTTTGTTAATAATGGGTTTTAGAATATATTCAATTGATACTTACGTACATCTTTTTTAGAGGAGATTTTTCAAGATATTTTTTATAAGCAGTGACTTTAAAATTATTAAAAAAAAAAATAATAAACATAATTATGATTTTTTTTTTTTGTACAAAAATATTTATTGATTTTTCCTTGCAGTTTATTAAAAATTAAAACATTAAAAGATCACATAAAATAATAATTCAGTTTTTTATTTCTTTATTAATATTTATTTTTATATTATTTATTTTATCTCCGGCTATGTATAATTATATAATAATATTGAAAAAGCATAAGAAAAATTATCGAAATGTATAATGGTATTATACTATACATAATAGCAATCAAAATCGTTTACCTGGACGTAATTGAAACGTTCCATAGGTAGTTCAGAGAGATAGCCAAAAGGGGAAAAAGCCGAAAATTCTTTTTCACCCACCTCCCGGCCCCGAATCAATCAAAATGGGAAGAGTTGTGCTTGTGCAGGTACAGGACGACGCAATGCGGTCCTGCGTACAACCAAGGGGGAAAAACACACAGCAACGTCGCCTTAGTCCGAGTGTCAGTCGTTAGCCGTCGCTCGTATCGTACCACAAACACAAGTTCATTCTACACATTTCTAGATAATAGTGACGAGATTGTTATAATTCTCGAATTAATTTTATTCTTTTGATAATATTAATTTTTTTCAGATTTGGTGAGAGTATGAATATTGTGTGTTTTTATTTATGATTTAGATTAAGCCTGCCGATTGGTTGAACTTTTACCAATAACTTTTATTTTGATGAGCGAACTTACCGGGAATTCGAAAATAGGGTAAGGAATACATTTTGATGTGTTAAAATAATTTCAGAGACAGCGTATTGCACAAAATTGAAGAATTGGTTACTTACCAACAAATATACCAATGCGAGTTTTTTATGTTCCACTCCATTCGAATGTTTTCGAGTATTGAGAATTTGTTTAAGTAGACATGATAATATGGTTCATCTCCGACAAAAACTATTTATATTATAGATGTCTCTTAAATAAGTATTTATTACACATATTGATTAATAAATTAAGTACATTTATTTAATAATAATACTAAAGTGCTCAATTGAATACCTAAATCCTACACAGTTATGATAAGTATACTTAGAGTTGTTTTATTTATTTATGAAAAATACGGTACATTTAAAAAATCTAATTTAAAATTTAATAAGATTTTCTGGTAATAAAATATATAATAGTAACATTTTTAATTACCTAGCAAAATCAAAAACTCGTTTAATATCCATTAAGATTAAAGATATATGCAACATAACTGTTTTATATAGAATTAAATGATATTGTTATTTGGATTATATCTCAGTACTACACTATCTCAGATCGTATAATCCGGTTGATTACTATAATTCGTTTTGTAATGTATTCGTCGTGGTAGAGATTAATATTTAGACGCTCTGTTGAAATACCGAACATTCAATTATTATGAATGTATAGCGAAGTTAATTGAATTTGTTGGTTCCATCACCCCTCCCCTCACAATGAAATTTAAAACTGAAATAAATAAATGATACAGTCGCTTAAAATTATTTTATGAAATTATTAACGAAACTCGTAATATTTATGTGTCATTCAATTAAAAAGAATACAAATTTAATAAAATCAGTGTTACTGTGAAGGAAAGGCATTTTAAGTCAGAGCAATACTGATATAACTAGGTAATCAACTAATTGAGATTTTAAATTAAAAGAGATATCTATGGATCTATAGCTGCAAGATTGAAATGATTGCGTGTTGAAGTGAATACCCAAAGTATTTAAAATTATTTGTTTTCAAATAATTATTTTACGAAAAAAAAAATTTAAAAGTGTTTAATTGTGACATATATATTTTGTGACCAAGAATCGCACGTTTTGTTAAAGAAAAAAATAAAATGAAATGAGAAATTTAAAACGTCAATCCTATATTTAAATGATATATCTAATAACAACAATCTTTGTGTACACGAATCATTTTTTATATATGACATTACTTTTACACCTGTACGATTCCCATAATTTTAATTTTCATTGCCTATATATACTCGTGTATATTTTTCGTTTTAAATACGGTAGGTACTATTATATAAATATCGTTTCACTAGCTCATATTGTCGGATAAATACAATATTTGTGGTAATTCTAAACATATATAAACATATAATCATAATTTATATATGCATATAACTTGTCTTCGTTTCGTATAGATAGTTTGAAGATTTGTAAATAAAAAATAGTAAATATATTGAAAGACAATTAGTATTTTAATCATCAGTTAATAATAAAAACCATATCAGAAATATTCCATAACAAGATTCGGCTAGAATTTTTCTTATAACTGCTATAAACATTTAAAATGCTTGTTTGCAAATATGTGATACTGAAACAATAGTTCAACGATATATAATATACATTAAATGTATGCAAGTTCAATGAATTCGTTTAAATTTAATTATCTTGCATACGAATATCAAGACGACTTAAATATATACTGCTATACACATCAAACATATAATATGCATATTTGTATATCATATAACGAATTTGTTACAGTACTCATTTACGTATACATATTTATATTAAGAACATCGTAGTTATATGGTGTGTTGTATATATAACAAATTGGATTACGAAATTATTATGAATTACATTTTAAAGGCAATTTAATGTTTTTTTAGTATTTTATTCAGTAAAATTGTTTTGTTCAGTGTTTGTAAATGATATGTTAAATGGTTTTATTACGAAGAGGTTGAAAGTGCGAAATATATGAACGAAAGATTAGTAATTGATGGTTATAAATGAAAAAATAAAAATATTGAGAGAAATTCATACTGAAATGAAAAAGAAAAAATCTAGAAGAGTGTGGGTACCTAAGTGAAATTTAGAAATGAAAAGTAGAATAATTTAAAAGATTGAATGTGTTATTGTTTAATTGTTCGAGATCAATATCAACTGAAAGAAATAATATTCAGTGTAACTTTGTATTTAATTTAATATTCGGAGGTAAAATAAAAAAATTTACATTTTGCGTTTCTGGAAGTCTTTTAATATCAAGTAACATACGATCGTAAATGACGAAAATATAATATGGTTCTGGTGTGTGTGTGTGTAGTTTTTTTTTTTATCGGTTGATTGCACGCACTTGACAAGTGGTTGTCAAGATATATCGAACCGATTCTCTGGGGTATTTTTATTTTCGACGCAGAAATTTATTAGTTAATCATTGATGTGAGAAACCTGATAATTATTCTCGTTGTAATTCTAAAGTTTAGAATGTTTTGGAATCGTAGAGTGAATTGTCGGCGAACAGTACAAAAGCAATTAAATCGGTTCTTTCGGGTGCGGTCCTCGAGCGATGTCAAGTAGTGCGAGTAAATAGGTAGATCGCCTGTGGGCTTTGTAGTACAAGATAAGAGATGCAGACAAAATAATGTAACGGCTTGAAACGAGCAAGTGGAGAAACGTGGTTACACAATTTAAAATTACCATGTACAGTCTACTATTGTGTGTTTTTGTGACCAAAAAACATATTTATTTTTTTATAAACGCGCGAAATGAAATAACGAACTAATTATTATTTATCATTATATAAAATAATATATCGTGTATGCAATTTGGATGTTTAAGGTATGCGTATATGTGTCTAACAATAATAATAAAACGTAGCGAAAAGATGTATTTTTTTATCGCACCCGTCAACTCACTCGTGTAATGTATAAATATTCAGGTGAATATTGCATTTTGATTTCTTCGTTCGTTTCTCTTTTTCGGGGGTGATCGGCAGAGAAAAGGTTTCCGTGGTAAATTTCCTTTTTGAATTTTCCTAACGCGTTAAGGTTCAATGTTTAATGTAAGTGCGGTGACTGTTTATTATGACTGCATATGTATACTGCAAAGGTTAACATTCTATTATCATTCACCGATATTCCGCAATTCTTTCACACCGCATTCTTATGTTCAGTGAACACTTTATACATCGTTTACTAATTGATTTTTAAAGATTTTTCGAGTGTAGAGACCACTCCTCCCCCAGTAGGCATTAGGTTAGGTTACATATAATGGTGACTTACAAAGATCTAATAATGGTTATAGGCTTTATCAGAGATATTAGATTCGTTATTATATTGAACACATTTCCTTATTTTCTCATAATGTTTAGTTGCTAGTATTATATTATACAAGTACATTATTATCGTTTATTTTTTTTCCAATCGTGTTGTTACGTTTTATGTTATCGAGCTACAAATCACGCGTATTATATATATAAAAAAAAAAATGTATATCTTTTTCCCAGTTTCAAAGATAAATTTTCGCTGCAGCGTGACGGATGAGAAACTCACAGGATAATTAGAGTGTCGTCGTCGAAAAACGGCAGAGTGACAGCATAACGGAACGAGCCGAAAAAAAAACCGAGAATGCGAAAAAGACGATTACGAGGGGGTGATTATTTTACATGGATAAAACTAAAAAATGGATGGACATACAATGTAAATACATTAGATTTATATGGGTGTATTAATGATATTTTTGCGTTAGACGTCGCATTTGAATCGTCTGTCTATGAAATTTCTCCTGTGGTAAAAAACCTACTTTTGCGAGTACACATTTACACACACACGCTCACATACACACACTCGAGTTTCGCGTGATTAAAACGTGCTAAAACGTTGCCGGTAATTTCACGTGGTAAAGGTAAACAATGGCGCCTATATTTACGAGGCACGGGGTCACACCGTTCTTTCATCGTCACCGCTGTTTGATTATCAATGGACCAAAAGGTGTTCCGTCTCTTTGCGTACGAAAACTTCCATCCGCAATTAAAACGATGTCGTCCCGGAGATCCCAACGCCTTCGGACACGCTCCTGAGATGTTATTGTTACAACAAAAACAAAACGACGAAGGGCAACACGGGCTGACCGCGGGAGTAGTTTGAGAATATTTATATACATACGAAATATATGAGAACAGTGTGGTGGAGGCAGGATCGTGATGGGTGGGCAGTGCCGTGAACGGGTGGGCAACGGCGACGTCGACGACGACGACGACGACGACGACGACGACGACGGCGATGACGACGAAGGGAAACGAGAGAGCGGTGAAAGAGGAGCGGCCACCAGCGGGTGCGGAGGGCGCGGGAGAAGATATTGATTTTCCCCCCGGATAGGAGCACCGAGTCATTTTGATGAGATTTTTCTTTGGTCTTGGACTTTGCATACATATACACAAAATTTAAATTTTGTGTACAAACGAGATTTCATGTCGGGACCGAACAATGCCGCCGTTGCGTATGCAATATATAACGTATTGAATTATGTTAGTTATGTATAACGGATAATGTCTATTACGATCATTATCGTTGTCCTAACGGTTACCCGGTGATGGCTGCAATTGATCGATGTAGATCGCAAACAACGAGACGATCGAATAATATTAGTAGAAATAAAATAAAATAGAAACTTTCCGTAACATTTTGGTCGATTAAATATCATTCGTAGACGCGTGGCTGTTGATCGCCGCGTATATCCGGGGTTTTCGAATATCGCAAATAGTTTGCGACAGTTTTCGAATTATCACATGTAGCTATTAAAATTGTTCGTGTTTTCAGGAACAATTGTACGATTTTAATACACATTCCTCGCCTCTTCGGAATTAAAATATTAACATTCTAAAACTTTTGGGTATTGACGGAATTAATAAATTCTTGTTAATTGAATTACTTTGTTATTATCATTATTATTTTTACATGAATCCCGTTCAATATAACCTTAAAGATTAATATGGTCTATATA